GTGGGTGGAAGGGTGGGGAGTGGGGGGGGGGGACGGGGAGCGAAGGCAAGGAAGGCAGGAAGGGTGGGGAGGGGGGGGTGGGGGGGGGCGGGGTTGTGATCCTAGCGAGCAAGGTTCAACCTATGCAGAGCATCCTAGAGCCTTTCCTTAGTCTTCATTCTTCAGTATTCAGTCTTCTCTCCTGACCATAGCCATCTCAGTTGCCCTGCAAGCGAGGGAAGCGGGCACGGGGCAGGGCAGGCAGCAAGGAGCGAGTCAAAAGGGCAGAGACTGCCTTGCTTGCAGCATCTGAGGAGTGCAACGCAGAACAACAGCACCAGCACCATCAACAGCAGCACCAGAGCCGGCAGCAGCATCTGAGGAGAGCATCGCAGGACAAGCAGAGGCTGCCTTGGCTGTCCTGCGAGAAAGCTGCACACAGCTGCAATTGCTGTACTGTTCTATGATAAGGATTGTTCGAGGAGTGGAGTGGATGGTAGTGCGTGGCTCACCAGAGTGGAGTGTCCGAGGTGGTGAGACTGTGGCAGGGCGGCCCCAATCTTGAAGTGTCAGTTAAAGTGCTGCTCTGCATGTCAGTAGGCCGTGCGGCCCCAATCGTACCAGTGGGACCTGCAGCAACAGCAGCGAGACAGGAAGCACCATCACCATCGGCAGCAGCACTCGCTCCACCACCCTAAGTAGCTGCCATCACCATCACCATCACCATCAGCAGCAGCACCAGAGCCGTCAGCTGTAGCACCAGCTTTATCAACAACAGCACCCGCCTGCACCATCGCACCCTTCCACCCCAATGGAATTCACGCTGCAGGAAAAAGATGGGTAGAGGGGGGGGAAATGGGTGGAGGGAGGGGGGGTGGTGAGCAGGTAGGGAAGGTGAATGAGGCGGGGAGAGGAAGCGAGCAAACACAAGGAGCAACGGGACAACAGGAGTCTTGAAGCAATAACGAATGCATGCATGAATTTGAAACGAGTGTGTATACGAGAGGCTGGATGGACCACAGCTGTGTTGAGCTTCGTTTCGCTTTTCAAGTGTCAGTTGGGGTGCTGCTCTGCATGCAACCGTTCCAACAGTAGTAGCACCAGCACCATCAACAGCAGTAGCACCAGCACCATCAACAGCAGCAACCAATCGCTCCATCGCTCCCTTCCACACCCACTGAGTTCGCGCTGCTGGGATGGGATGGGTATGGGGAGGAGAGGAGTAGGTACGGAGGTGAAAGCGGCAGGGAGAGAAAGTGAGTGAGCAAACGCAGGGCACAACGGGACAGCAGGAGTATTGAAGCAATCACAGTAAACGTGAGAATGCGAAACGAGTGTGCAAACCAAAACAGTGGTTGGATGGGTTTTGCAAACCAAACCAAACGAGTGTGCCACAGCTGTACCGAGTTTTGATTTTCAAGTGATGCTCTTTGAGTGTTGCTCCTCGCGTGATGCTCTTGAGTACTCCTCTTGTCTTGGAACAAGGGCATGGGCTGTTGAGAATGAGAGTAAAGGATACGGGATGAAGGAAACTGGTCGAGGATGGAATAAAGCCCTGGAAAAGGATCAAAAGCGACAAATGAAGCAAAGGCAGGGAAAACAGGAAGAAATGAAAATTGAAAACAAGGTGGAAGGATGCAGTGAAAACAGAGAGGCGATGGTAGCCCATGGCACTAGGTTGGCGAGCTAGCGGGCAAGGGGGACGAGGTAAGAAGGAGACGCAGGCGTGAGTGTGAGTGCATTCTAGTCCGTGTGAGCTCAAGACGCCCCGGTGCCATGCACTACCATCGCCACGCGCCAGAAACCCCAAGTCAACTTTTTGCCCCTCCCATGCGGAAATGAAGTTTTGGTTACGAGCATGCGGTGAGAGAACAACGCGTTACGAGGATGAACCAAAGACAGAAAGCGGTCAGGATGGCAAGGGGGTGAGTGAGGGGATTAAGAGGTGACTTAGCAGCGGTACGACGGGTTGAGCGACAGAAGCAGCAGCAGTGGCTCCCAGCAGCAGCCCTCCCAGCAGCAGCAGCGCCAGTGGAGCTCGTTTGGCGCGTGAAGGAGTGGCGTGGACAGCAGGGCATGCAGGACGCAGGCCGTGCGTCATCCCACTGCCCTCCCTCCTGGAACAAGGGCATGGGCTGGTGAGAGGGAGAATAAAGGATACGGGATGCAGGAGGAAACTGGTCGAGGGTGGAATAAAGCCATGGAAAAGGATCACAAGCGACAAATGAAGCAAAGGCAGGGAAAACAGGAAGAATTGAAAAGTGAAAACAAGGTGGAAGGATGCAGTGAAAACAGAGAGGCGATGGTAGCCCATGGCACTAGGATGGCGAGCTAGCGGGCAAGGGGGACGAGGTAAGAAGGAGACGCGGGCGTGAGTGTGAGTGCATTCTAGTCCCCTAGGACTCTAGTGTGAGCTCAAGCCGCCCCGGTGCCATGCACTACCATCGCCACGCGCCAGAAACCCCAAGTCAACTTTTTGCCCCTCCCATGCGGAAATGAAGTTTTGGTTACGAGCATGCGGTGAGAGAACAACGCGTTACGAGAATGAACCAAAGACAGAAAGCGGTCAGGATGGCAAGGGGGTGAGTGAGGGGATTAAGAGGTGACTTAGCAGCGGTACGACTGGTTGAGCGACAGAAGCAGCAGCAGTGGCTCCCAGCAGCAGCCCTCCCAGCAGCAGCAGCGCCAGTGGAGCTCGTTTGGCGCGTGAAGGAGTGGCGTGGACAGCAGGGCATGCAGGACGCAGGCCGTGCGTCATCCCACTGCCCTCCCTCCTGGAACAAGGGCATGGGCTGGTGAGAGGGAGAATAAAGGATACGGGATGCAGGAGGAAACTGGTCGAGGGTGGAATAAAGCCATGGAAAAGGATCACAAGCGACAAATGAAGCAAAGGCAGGGAAAACAGGAAGAATTGAAAAGTGAAAACAAGGTGGAAGGATGCAGTGAAAACAGAGAGGCGATGGTAGCCCATGGCACTAGGATGGCGAGCTAGCGGGCAAGGGGGACGAGGTAAGAAGGAGACGCGGGCGTGAGTGTGAGTGCATTCTAGTCCCCTAGGACTCTAGTGTGAGATCAAGCCGCCCCGGTGCCATGCACTACCATCGCCACGCGCCAGAAACCCCAAGTCAACTTTTTGCCCCTCCCATACGGAAATGAAGTTTTGGTTACGAGCATGCGGTGAGAGAACAACGCGTTACGAGAATGAACCAAAGACAGAAAGCGGTCAGGATGGCAAGGGGGTGAGTGAGGGGATTAAGAGGTGACTTAGCAGCGGTACGACGGGTTGAGCGACAGAAGCAGCAGCAGTGGCTCCCAGCAGCAGCCCTCCCGGCAGCAGCAGCGCCAGTGGAGCTCGTTTGGCGCGTGAAGGAGTGGCGTGGACAGCAGGGCATGCAGGACGCAGGCCGTGCGTCATCCCACTGCCCTCCCTCGTGGAATAAGGGCATGGGCTGGTGAGAGGGAGAATAAAGGATACGGGATGCAGGAGGAAACTGGTCGAGGATGGAATGAAGCCATGGAAAAGGATCACAAGCGACAAACGAAGCAAAGGCAGGGAAACCTGGATGAATTGAAAATTGAAAACAAGGTGGAAGGATGCAGTGAAAACAGAGAGGCGATGGTAGCCCATGGCACTAGGTTGGCGAGCTAGCGGGCAAGGGGGACGAGGTAAGAAGGAGACGCGAGCATTCTACCCCCCTAGGACTCTAGGACGAGCTCAAGCCGCCCCAGTGCCATGTGCTACCATCGCCTTGCGGAATTGACGGTTCGGAGCTGCGTTTGCTCCCACTGGGAGGCGCAAGGGCGGCAGGGGCAAAGGGGGCTGGGGTGGAGGAGGCGGCGGCGGGGGAGGTGGTGGTGGAGGGGGTGGAGGGGGCGGCGGCGGTGGCAGCAGTGGTGGGAGTGGTGCTGGTGGTGGGGGAGGCAGTGGCGGAGCCGGGGGTGGTGGAGGCGGCGGTGGTGGAGGTGGAGGTGGTGGTGGTGGCAGTGATGGCGGCGGTGGAGCTGGTGGAGGGCGCGGTGGAGCGGTGCAGCGTGGGGGGTTTGGCAGAGGCCACAGGCAGCAGCAGCAGCGTCCCAGCGAGCCCCAGTCGCCCTAGCAGCTACGTGAGTGGTACTCTCAGCGTGGGGGGTCTGGGGGTGGAGGTACCTGCCCGTACGTCATCCGCATAGGTGACCGCACTGGCCAGACTTGTGGGAGGTTTCACAAGGCGCAGCGCTGTTTCTTTCGCCTCGACGACACCTGGCGCGAGCAGTTTCCTGACGCCTCTGAGCTGCCCCGCTGGGCTGATCTGCTTAAGAGGGGGATTGATATCTTTGCTCTTGATTATGATGCTATCCTTGCTACTATGTATGCATTGACTATTAGTGTTGAGGGTGACTGTTACCTAAGTGTACCGCCCGACCCGGGTATAAGGACCAGTGAGGCTGCAGCTCTGGGTGCTAGTGAGTCTGCTGCTCTAGGTCCTGGTGAGGCTGCTGCTCTAGGTGCTAGTGCGTCTGCGTCTGCTGGTACCGCACCTACTGAGGCACTGCACACCTTCACACTGGACTCAGGTGCTTCCCGCTGTTTCTTTCGCGACCGCACTGCCCTATAGCAGCTTCCTAGACCGGTTGCTGTCTCCCTGGCTGACCCCTCAGGGGGTCCGGTCCTTGCGACCTCCACCACTGCCCTCCCTTAACCTGCTGTCCCGTCTGGCACACTCTCGGGCCTCTACCTCCCCTCGTTCTCTACGAACTTGGTGGCGGGTTCCGCGCTCCAGGACGCGGGTGTTCACCAGTTCACCCCTGCCTATGAGCGTGTGACACACTGCATGTGTGCCCAGACGGGTCTTCACTTGGCTACCTTCACTCGGCAGCCAGGGTCGGACTTGTACACACTGACCACTGAGTCCCCTCAGGTAGCTGCGTCTGCATCTGTGTCAGGTCAGCTATCGGCCCCCTGCTCGTGTCGCTCCTTGTCGCACAGGACTGTCCTCTGGTACCACCGCCTTGGTCACCCGTCAGTGCAGCGCCTTCGCGGCATGCACTCCAGGTACCTTGTCTCTGGTCTTCCCAGGGTTCTCCCTCCCCTCCCACCCTTGCCTGCTCCTCCCCTTCTTCCATGTGTCGAGGGGTGGCAGCGCGCCGCTCCTCACTCTTCCTCGTTCCCTCCCACAGAGGCTCCCCTGCAGACTTTCCACTTGGACGTGTGGGGCCCCGCCCGCGTTTGGGGACAGGGCCACGAGCGGTACTTTCTGCTGGTCGTCGACGACTACATGCGCTACACCACGGTCTTCCCCTTGCGTACCAAGGGTGAGGTCTCTGATGTCTTGATCCCCTGGATCCGCGCTGCTCGTCTCCATCTCCGCGAGCGGTTCTAGTCGGACTTTCCTGTCCTACGTCTGCACTCTGACAGAGGTGGCGAGTTTTCCTCTGACCTCTTGGCAGCCTACTGTGCGGAGCACGGCATCCGCCAGACGTTCACTCTCCCGGCCTCTCCGCAGCAGAATGGGGTTGCTGAGCGCCGCATTGATCTCGTCATGGAGGTCGCTCGTACCTCCATGATCTTTGCGGCTGCCCCCCATTTCCTGTGGCCGTTTGTAGTGCAGTACGCCGCGCATCAGCTCAACCTCTGGCCCCGTGTCTCTGTTCCGGAGACCTCGCCTACCCTGCGTTGGACGGGGGAGGTTGGCCATGCGTCGGTGTTCCGAGTCTGGGGATGTCGAGCCTTTGTCCGCGATACGTCCGCGGACAAGCTCTCCTCCCGTGCCGTTCCTTGTGTCTTCCTTGGCTTTGTCCCTGACGCGCCTGGCTGGCAGTTTTACCACCCCACCTCGCGTCGTGTCTTCGCCTCTCAGGACGTCACCTTTGACGAGCCGGTACCCTTTTACCGTCTCTTCCCCTACCGCACTGCCCCGCTCCCCCCCCCCCCCCCGCCGCTCTCCTCACCCCAGGTGTCCCGTCGGTAGACCGCCTCCCTCCCCAGGGTGCTGCTCCCTCATGTGTTTCCCAGGTAGACCCGGTCGAGCCTGTCGAGGTAGCTGTTGACTCTAGTCTTGCGCGAGGTAATGCGCGTGCTGAGCCTGGTGGTGCGGAGACTGGGGGTGCTGAGTCTGGGGGTGCAGAGACTGCGGGTGCTGAGCTTGGGGGTGCTGCGACTGGGGGTGCTGAGCCTAGAGGAGCAAAGGGTGGGGGTTCTGAGACTGACCGTACTGTGCCTGTTGGCGCTCCCTCTTCACAGCAGCTGCATGAGTGGTACTCCCAGCGGTACAGCCTCCGTCGTGGGGCTACTGGAGCTGGGGGGTCTACTGGAGTCGGGGCTGGTGGCCCTGCGGGTGCAGTGTCGCAGCCGGAGCCTCCCTCCCCTCAGCGACTACGTGAGTGGTACGCTCGGCGCTGCACCCTCCGGAGTGGAGCTCCTAGTGTTGAGGTACCGCCAGCTGGAGGTTCTGGTGCTACTAGAGGTCCTGGAGCTGCTGTAGGTGCTGCTGGTGCTGGTGCTGCTGGAGGTCCTGCTGGTGCTGCTGGAGGTACTGGAGCTGCTGGAGGTGCTACTGGTGCTACTAGAGGTTCTGGAGCTGCTAGAGGTGCTGCTGGTGCTGGTTCAGCTGGAGGTTCTCGTGCTGTCTTTACTGCTTCTAGGGGCACTTCATGGCCCCGGCCGTACTTCGTTCCGCTCCTTCAGCAGGTTCTTGGTCAGCCGCCTCCTCCCAGTCCTCCTCCCTCCTTAGAGTGTCCTCTGCCTGTCCAGTCGCAGACACAGCTACCGTCTGCCTCGCCACTTCCTGGTCCTTCTCCCTACAGCGGTCTGACAGGGGGTCTTACAGAGCGCCGTGAGCCTGAGTCTCGTCCTGTGTTGCCTGTGTCTCGTCATGTGTCGCCTGTGTCTTGTCCTGTGTCAACTGTTCGTGCTGCTCGCACTGGTCGTCGTGTTCCGCGTGAGCGTCCTCCGCCTGTCCCTGGCACACACTATATGACTCTGCGTCCTTCCACTGCTCCACAGCGTGTCCCTCTGCCGTCTTCTCCTGCGTCCTCTCTTCCTGTTCTTACTGACCCGGAGTCTGACTCTCTTCGTGCTGCCAGTCCTACTGTCACGCGTCGACTGGCCACTGCTGTCAGTGACCTTTCCTTTGAGTCTGCTGCTACGTCTGCCCTAGTTGTTGAGCTTGTCGACTTTGCTGCTCGCTGTCGTCCAGACTACGCCGCGAGTCTTGTTGCTGAGTCTGAGTCTGTCTGTCCTCCGTCCGTCGGGGGTGAGTGTGCTCTAGGCACGGACGTCCTTGAGAATAGATAGGAGAACCTTGAGTGTCTTGCAACCGCTGCGCCTCATCTCGTGTCCATGCTGATTGCCCCTAAGCGAGACCCGGATGCTCCAGACATCCCGACCCCGCGCTCTTACGCTGAGGCGATCGCGGGTGAGTACTCCTCTCAGTGGCAGCCAGCCATGGACGTAGAGATGGCATCCTGGAAGTCCACAGGCACTTTCGTCGACGAGGTTCCCCCTCCTGGGGCGAACATCGTTAGTGGCATGTGGATTTTCAGGGTGAAGCGGCCGCCGGGTTCTCCACCTGTCTTCAAAGCTCGTTACGTTGCTCGAGGATTTAGTCACCGAGAGGGAGTAGACTTCTTTCAGACCTTCTCCCCCACCCGGAAGATGACCACTCTTCGGGTGCTACTATAGGTTGCTGCTCAGCGTGACTACAAGCTTCACTCTCTTGACTTCAGCACAGCTTTCTTGCAGGGCAGCCTACTCAAGGAGATCTGGCTGCGCCGCCCTCCTGGCTTCACTGGTTCGTTTCCTCCTGGTACCCAGTGGAGCCTCCGACAGCCGGTCCACCGTCTTCGCCAAGCGCCACGTGAGTGGCACGACACACTGAGGACTACTCTTGCGGCACTTGGGTTCGCGCCTTCTACTCTGACCCGTCGCTGCTTCTGCGCACCGACACTTCGCTGCCCCCGTTCTACATCCTCGTGTACGTCGACGACTTGGTCTTTGCCACTGCTGACACTGAGGCTCTCGCCCACGTGAAGTCGGAGTGGCAGAAGAGACGCACGTGCACAGACCTGGGTGAACTGTGCAGCTACCTTGGCTTGCAGATCACCTAGGACAGAGCACGCCACACCATCACACTGACTCAGTCATACATGGTGCAGCAGGTCCTTCAGCGTTTCGGCTTCACCTGGTCCTCAGCACAGGCCACTCCTCTGGCTACAGGTCACTCGCTCTCAGCTCTGCCTTCGGATGAGTCCGTAGAGCCGAGTGGTCCTTACCCACAGCTAGTTGGTTGCCTCATGTACCTGATGACTTGCACTCGTCCCCACCTAGTGTACCCTCTTGGCCTTCTAGCCCGCTACGTGGCTCCTGGTAGGCACCGAAAGGTGCACTCGGATGCTGCAAAGAGGGTATTGCGGTACTTGTGCAGTTCATCGGGCATGGGGCTCGTGCTTGGAGGAGGGAGCTCAATTGTTCTCACTGGGCACTCAAACGCTTCTTGGGTTGACGACCAGGCTACTCAGCGGTCGTCACACCTTCAGTCTTGGCTCTGGCTCAGTTTCGTGGCATTCTACGCGTTTGTCTTCAGTTCTCAGCTCCAGTTGTGAGGCTGAGATCTACACCACAGCCATGGCTGCACAGGAGTTACGCTGGCTCACCTACCTGCTGACTGATTTGGGAGAGCTGCCTCGTTCTCCTCCAGTGCTGTACGTCGACAACAAGGCTGCCATTGCCTTGTGTGAGGAGCACAGACTGGAGCACAGAACGAAGCACATCGCTCTGTGTCACTTCCTGGCTCGAGAGTTGCATCAGCGTGGTCAGCTTCGTCTGCGTTACGTGGCCACTCAGGCCAACACTGCTGATATATGTTAGAATCTCAACCACTAGACCATTGGGATAAAAGGGCTTGTTAAGTAGCAGGTCAGTGCGCCCATAACCCCCCAGTCCAACATGCCTGTAACCCTTCCCTAAGATCAATCGGGGATCACCAGTGGACCTCTGACACCCCCCCGCACTGGGATGCCCGAAGTGCACACACTGGGATTCGAACGCGAAACCTTCGCTCTGAGACCATGTCAGAATCCCAACCACTAGACCATTGGGATAAAAGGGCTTGTTAAGTAGCGGGTCAGTGCGCCCATAACCTCCAGGCCAACATGCCTGTAACCCTTCCCTAGGATCAATCGGGGATCACTAGTGGACCTCTGACAATATATTGACCAAGGCACTTCAGTCTGGTGATCATCGGCGTTTCTGCACTTTGCTAGGGCTTGTGCCCGCTTTTCCTCACGTATTGTAGACTTTGCCTATACTGTGATCTATATATATACATATATATATATACCTGCATGCTTGCTAGATATAGATCATTGTGATGCTTGTGCTACATATATGCCTCTGCATGTGAACTGGCCTTGTGGTCCTTTGCTTGTGCTCAGAGTGTGTGGTGACGTTGTGATCCACCCTGAGCTTGCTTTGTCTTTCTTGACTGGTTTTGTGACCCCTTGCTCTCCCTCACTTGGCCTATGGGGGTGTGTCAAACATTATATATGTTTCTGTTGTGTAGGCTACGGTGGGTTAGCCTTTAGGGGGTACACTTCTCTAGGGTTTCCTACTTGTACTCCAACATCTTTCTAGTTCAACACTTCTTGATTCTGACATACACGATCGCGAAATGCTTGCGATCGTGCACGCGTTCAAAGTATGGCGCTGTTACTTGACTGGCGCGGATGTGACCGTATGGACGGATCACAAATCACTACAGTACCTTCGCGCACAGCCACACCTCAACCCACGACAGATTCGCTGGCTCGATTTCCTTTAGTCCAGCTTTCACTACACGGTCACTTACAAAAAGGGAGTCTCGAACATCGCTGATGCACTGATTCGCCCCACTGCCCAGATCCACGCAATACTACTCGCCCAGACAAGCCCACTACTGAAAGGCCTATTTACCCACGGGTACCAAGCAGATCCATTCTTCACAGGAGGAAATTCGCAGCAGTTCGCAGCAGCAAGGGGAGTCTATTACGTAAAAGCCAGGACTGACCGCATTTGGATACCTGGGTAAACACTGCTACAGGAATTACTATTACAGGAGGCACACGACGGAGTCACCTCGGGGCATTTCGGAGTAGAAAAAACACGGCAGCAGCTGCAGCGGTATTATTACTGGCCCGAAATGTTGACCGACGTACAACGACACGTGGCATCGTGTCCCACTTGTCAGCTCATGAAATCCTCACGACAGCGGCCGGCGGGATAGTTGCAACTGATACCACCCCAAGAGCGTGCTTGATAGCAGGTGACGATGGACTTCGTCACGGGGTTACCGGCCAGGGCGAGTGGGAACGACGCGATCCTGGTCGTCGTCGATCGACTGACGAAAATGACACACTTCGCAACCTGCAAAAAAGCAATTACAGCCGAAGAAACAGCACGCCTCTTCATCTCTACCGTCGTTCGACTGCACGGGATATCAGTTGCGATCATCAGCGACCGCGACACGAAATTCACCAGCAACTTCTGGCGGAACCTGTGGCGGCAGTTCGGCGCGTGTCTGCAGTTCAGTTCATCATACCACCCTGAAACCGACGGACAGACAGAACGGACAAATCAGACCATGGAACAGCTCATCAGGGCCACGTGTGACGACCCGACCACGTGGGAATAGGAACTGCCACTAATCGAATTCGTATACAACAACTCGCCATCCGCCACGACCCAACAGTCACAATTTTACCTAAATTACGGGCAAGACCCGACAGTACCCATGACCCCGAATCCCGACAACCCAGTACCACGAGCACAACAGCTCACCGAAATATTACAAGTAGCACGGACCCGGGCAGCAGACGCAATAAAAAAATCGAACATCATCGCTAAATGCAACGCCGACCGCCACCGCAGACCTGTCACTTACCAGCCCGACGACCTAGTTTTACTTGACACTCAGAACCTTCGACTGCCCATCACCCCGAAACTCCGCCCCCGATACTGCGGGCCATTTCGCATAAGCCACATGATTACACTTGTCACCGCCCACCACCTCCTCCCTGCTGACTGGTACGTCAGCCCCTCATTCCACGTCAGCCTGCTTCGCCCTTACGTCCCGTCCACGAGCCAACTGCCACGCAACCGCCCAGCCAGCATGACAAGACCACCAACTGAACCAATCATCACCCCCGAGAAAATCCTGAGTCACAGAGTTCGCGACCCTCGAGGAGCCCGAAGGATCGAGTTCTTGCTCCGGTGGAAGGACCGTACACCCACCGAAGACAATTGGGTTCCCTTGGACAGAATCGAAAACCACCCCGTCCTCACCGAGTATTTGCGCAGCCGAAATTTCAGGGATGTACACGCACTTTCGTAAGGAGGACCTCCTTAGGGGGGGGGGAGGTAGTGTAAGGAAAATTCTTTTTCCTTACTTCGCGTCCCCGCTCAGCGCGTACACCATTGTAGTACCACAGTCAGCACCGTTACCACTCGCAACCCTCACATCGACAATCCTCCCGCCACCTTCGCACGTCGCACCCCGACCTCACGGCTCGGCAGGTACGGTAACCCGCGCTCCGGGCCTCCGCTTCGACACTTTTCCCAACCTCGGTCCCAGGCCCGTCACGCGACAACCACAGTCCATTACCGTTACCACTGTAGTTTTTTTTTTAGCCTTCGCTCATGCCGTCGCTCATTGTACTCTTGCTTCGATAGTGCAATTCTCGTTCGTTCACTCAATTGCACTCGTAACAAATATCATGAAAACAACACTTCTTGTAATGGCAATGAAGTGGTAAACACTCTTCTCCAGGGGCAGAAGCCATTTGGCCTCCACCCACGATTTCGTTTGAAATTTAAAAGGTTTTACTTCCCGCCCACCTATCCACCCTATTCTAGTTGGATGAGTGAACTCATCCCATCTGAGCGTCTCTACACTTCACTACGCAAGCAACTGGCTCTCCCTCATACGAAGATCACTTCTAGCCGAGCACAGGGGTGTGCAGTCACATGCGCCACTACCTGAGACAAGTTCCGGAACCACGCCTCACCCCACAACGCCTCTCTCTGCGTCGAACCCGCCGGGTATATCCTGTAGATCTTTAAAGCCCATGCCTTCTCATCCCCTCCGAGCGACGCCGGCCGCTTCCCCACCCAAACCGGCCGGTGCGTCTTTTTCTGAAAACTCCGTCGTATCGCTAATGTGAGTCCTCTTAGGGTGAGGTGGTCACTGCGCAGGAACACTGATGTGAAGTGGAACGTTCCCCGTTCTCTCACATACAGGTGGTATACCACCAGCTTCTCCCCTTCCCGCTTCCCTGGCGCCTCGCACCGGCACGGGCGGCGGGTTTTGGCAGCATCCAGGTCCTTTCTCCGGATTCGGTCGGCGAGGAAGATACAGAGGCGGCAAGAGGAGTGCACAGCTGATAGATCCATATTAGCGATAAATGCCTGGGAAGGCCCGTCTTTCTTCCACGCTAGCATCTCATCATATGCCGTCTGGTTACCAGCGAGCGTAACCATCTGCTGCGCGACCCGTGGCACATCCTCCAAAGATTTGATTTCAAGATAGGAGTTCGGGGAAGGGGCGAAATTGGCGATGTTGGGGGCGCCGATGACGACGGGGATGGAGCCGGCAACGAGGCACTGCCAGTACTTCTCAGTGACGTAGTCGCCTTCGCAGGTGTTTTCGAACGCGAAGGAGAACAAGTGCTGTGCCAGCACGGGGAGTTTGTCGGTTTCGTATGGCATGTTGTTGAGACAGCGACCGTACGAATGCACCTCCATGTGCCGACTCAACTCCTTTACTGCCTGGTGATGAAGGGAAAAGGGAGAGGAGGAGGGGAGAGAGGGGAGGGGAGAGGGGGAGGGGAGAAGAGGGGGGGGGGGGGTGTGAGAAGTGGGAGGGAGGAATGCAAAGCACTGCCAGTACTTCTCAGTAAAGTAGTCGCCTTCACAGGTGTTTTCGAAAGCGAGGGAGAAGAAGTGCTGTGCCAGCACGGGGAGTTTGTCAGATTCGTATGGCATGTTGTTGAGGCAGCAGCCATATGAGTGGACTTCCATGTGTTGACTCAGCTCTTTTACAGCCTGGGATAAGGGGAGGAAAGAGGGAGGAGAGGAGAGGTGGGGGCTGTGAGACACTGCCAGTATTTTCCAGTGACATACTCGGCTCGGCTCCGCACCACAGGTGTTCTCAAAGGCGAGGGAGAAGCGATAGCGTGCGAGCACGGGCAGCTTGTCAGGTTCATGCGGCATGTTGTTGAGACAGCGGTCGTGCCAAGTGTAGAGAGGGTGCTTTTGGGACGTCTCAAAAACTCCCTCTCTACAAAGAAGTGATAGCATGCGAGCACGGGCAGCTTGTCGGGTTCATGCGGCATGTTGTTGAGACAGCGGTCGTACGAAGGCACCTCCATGTGCCAACTGAGCTCCTTCACTGCCTGGATATGAGGATGGGTGGGGGGGCACTGGCAGGACGGTAGGGGAGAATGGCTGTGAGGCACTGCCAGAGCATTCTAGTGGCAGCTTGTCAGGTTCATGCGGCATGTTGTTGAGATGAGACAGTGGTCGTGCGAATGCATCTCCATGTGCCGACTCAACTTCTTCACAGCCTGGTGATGGGATTGGCACGGGAAGAGAAGGCAGCGATTGTGAGATGTGGATGACGATGCGCAACACTCGGCAGAGATTTGGGATTTCTGCAGAGTGACACATTGAGCCTGAAGTTGATCAAGGCAGAAACAGGAGCAGGAGGAGCGACGTGGAGAGGAGTGGCGAGGTGTAGAGAGGGGTGGAGGTGGTGGAGAGCAGTGGAGAGGAGTGGAGTGGGTTGGGAATGGCATCTGACCTCGAGCCTGAAGTTGTTGGCACGGCAGTTGCTGATGAAGGCAGCAGCGAGAGCGGAGGCGGTTTTGTTGACGGGGGGGCGCATGACATGATACTCCTCCCATGACCCGTACTGCACTGGCACATCTGAGTCATAATGCACTGTCATCACCACCTGTTGGGGTTGTGGTAGGTGTGGAGGGGGAATGGGGGAATACGGAGGGATGTAAGGAGGGCGCATGACATCATACTCCTCCCATGACCCGTACTGCACTGGCACATCTGAGTCATAATGCACTGTCATCACCACCTGTTGGGGTTGTGGTAGGTGTGGAGGGGGAATGGGGGAATACGGAGGGATGTAAGGAGGGCGCATGACATCATACTCCTCCCATGACCCGTACTGCACTGGCACATCTGAGTCATAATGCACTGTCATCACCACCTGTTGGGGTTGTGGTAGGTGTGGAGGGGGAATGGGGGAATACGGAGGGATGTAAGGAGGGCGCATGACATCATACTCCTCCCACGAGCCATAGTGCACTGTCATGCACGTCAGAGTCACAGTGCACTGTCATCACCACCTGGAGAGGGAGTGAGTGAATGAGGGAGAGAGGGCATGAGGAAGGACTAAGCGGAGCGCATGACATGACATCATACTCCTCCCACGACCTGTACTGCACGAGGACGTCTGAGTCGTAGTGCAATGTCATCACCACCCGGAGAGATGGGAAGAGAGGCAAGAGAGCAGGAGGGGAAAGGCTGGGCGAGTGTGGGCGCATGACATCATACTCCTCCCATGATCGGTACTGCACTGCACTGGCACATGTGAATCGTAATGCACTGTCATCACCACCACCTGGAGAGGAGTGCCGATTGTTTGACCCAAGGAAGCGAGGTAGTGAGGTAGTGAGGTAGTGAGGTAGTGAGGAGTGTGTGGGTGAGGGAGTGAGAGTGGATATGAAACGGGCGTGTCACATCTCCCACGACCTATACTGCACTGCTGCTTGCTTGCTCCCCACGTTACCCCACCACAACCCTCCTCACTACACCCCACTCCTCACACTCACAGCATGATTTCTGTGCGCCCAGGCCGGGTCGTTGCTCCGGTAGTACCGCCCCCTTCTCCATGGATTGCAGCACCACTGCTCGCTTGCGTATGAAATCCCCACTGCACCCCACTGCACCCCACTGCACCCCACTGCAACCTACTCAACCCTCTCACTCACAGCATGATCCCTGTGCGCCCATGCGGGGTCGTTGCTCTTGTAGTACCCTCGGGGCTCCATGGATCGCAGCACCGCCTTGTGCCGAGGCACGCCGCCCGCCAGGCTTGCGTCCAGCTGGGATGGGCGGCGCTTGCCGACCAGCTCGCACGGCACGTCGCATGGGTACTTGCGGATCTGATTTTGGGTGGGGGGAGAGGGGAAGGGGGAATAGAAGGGGATGGGAAGAAGATGAGAAGGGGCAATGGAAGGGGATAAGTTTGGGGGGAGAGGAGAAAGGGGAATGGAGGGGAGGGGGGGGGAGGAGGAGAAGGGGCACAAAGGGGATGAGGGGGGGAGTGAGGGGGGAACCAGGGGAAAGAGGGCAGGAAAGTAGTTTCTGACCAGCTTGCACGGCACGTCGCATGGGTGCCTGCGGTATGATTATAGGGGGAGGAAGAGGGGAAGTTGGGGGAAATGGGGGTGGGGGAGTGAATGGGGGACCAGGGGAAAAGTGCACCGAGCAGATTGGTTTCCTTCTGGCCAGCTCGCACGGCACGTCATTCTGAACCTCGCAACACCCAAATTACTCAACAGTAGTTAACGTGGGAAAATAGGTTTGGGAAAGCAGAGATTTGAGGTTTGGAAACCTGCCCTAAACCTTTCTTTCCCGAAACCAGTAGAAGCGAGACACAAACTGGCCCCAGTTTCTGAAGGCCCCTTTGTAATTCGGGGGCTGAGCTTTAAAGATCACTTGAACGTCCCTCTGAACGTCCCTCGGAACGTCACTTCAAGCCGGACTGTACAGAAATTTCCCCCCATCCCAAGAAGAATAGCATGCAACGCACTCACCTCGTACGCCATCACAGTAATCAGCTGCTTCCCATGGGTGGTTGGACTTGGACGTACCTCGTACGCCATCACAGTAATTGGCTGCTTCTCAAAGTCCCGCCCAAACGCCACGTCATCAGCCTCTTGCAGCCACGAGCGACACGTCAGCCCGTCAGGAGCGCCCTGGAGTGGGGACCACTCTGACGGCTCGTCCAATGGGGACTGCCAAACCGGCTCCCCATCCCCCTCCCCCTCCTCCTCCCCTTCCCCCGCGCCCCCTTCCCCCCTTCCCCCTGTCCCCGTTCCGCCCTCCGCCATTTCCCCCTCGTCCATCCCCATATCGTCTCCACTCCCCTTTAAGGACATGCCCCCCCCTCCGCCTTCCCCCCCCTTCTCACCCCCCCCTTCCCCGTCGGCCCTCCCCGCGCCAGCCTTACCCTCTCCACTCCCCCTATCCTCGTCCGCCTCCCCTTCCCCCCTCCTCCCCCGAGCGTCGTCCGTCCCCTTACCGCGCCACGTGTCCTCGTCTACAATCACCTCCTGTCCGCTCTGCGTCCCGTCCACCATCCAATCATCATCGCCGCTTCTCAGCTCCATGCCTTTCCGCTCCGCCTCTTCCCCCCCGCCTCCCCCGGTCCCCCCCCTCTCCTCATCCACTATCAGCGGCCGAGTCGTCTGCGTCCCATCCACCATCCAATCATCGTCGCCACTCCTAAACTCCACGCCCTTCCGCTCCGCCTCCTCCCCCCCGCTTCCCCCGCGCCCTGCGCTCTCCTCATCCACTATCAGGGGTCGAGTCGTCTTAGTCCCGTCCACCATCCAATCATAATCGCCACTCCTAAACTCTACGCCTTTCCGAGTCTCTTCGCCCGGCTCCGAGTCGTCGTTTGCGTCGATGCCGCCGCCAGCGAATTTCCGCACCCACTTGCGCTCGTGGCTCCCGTACCCGGCGGCGCCACGCGAAGCTTCGTAGGTCCGCGGGCCGCCGAGGTGAATCGAATCCGCGTCGACATCCCGCTGCGCGTTTACCGCGCCGCTCGCGCTGAACAGCTTCGTCAAATCGTGGCCGTTTGATTGGCTCTGAGCGGCCGTCGCGGCGCTCTGCCGCTGCGCGTCAGATCGCGGGGAGAATTTAAGCTTAAGAATATAAAGACCTTGTGCGACGACGAGTAGCAGCAGCAAGCGGCCGCACAGCTGGCCGCCGCCGCCGCCGCCACGCCCTGGCGCGCCTCGGTGGTGCGACAGTGCAGATGTGCCTCTGTGCGCCTGTGCGACGGCACGATGGTGCTGCGACGACGGGCGATTGGATCGCGACATGTGTGCGACCACAGCGAGCAGCAAGGTGTTACGATTGAGCGCGTCCTCTCATCTTCAGGTGAAACTGAGGTCGTGGCATCTGGAAGTTATGGAGTCGGTTGGCAGTGGGGACGCCCAACTGAATCTAGGAATTGCAGCAGGAGATTTTATCTGAAGGTGAACGAGAGAAACCGTTTTCTAGGTTGCTCGATTTAGATGTCTCAGATGAATATCGAAGACCACATGACAAACCTATAACAGAGCTATCATATAAAGTACAATCATGCAACTCAATCTAATCAAACAGATGTTTAAATTAATAGCTACTTACAGAGAAGTGTTATTCCAACGAGTATGGTACGCCTAGACAATTGTGGACTTTAATGAATCACAATTTCATGAATCGAACTAATGATCACCTTTCTGGATGATCAGGATTCAGGACTGACAAAACTCATGCCACCAGCCATGAGTGGATAATGCAAGCAGCGGCCATGGGTCATGATGCAGGCAGCAGCTATGAGTGATAATGCAGGCAGTTCAGACCACCCAAGCACCAGCCAGATACCCTTCAACCTAGCCACTATGCACACCTCTCCAGCGACCCAATCCAGAGCAATGCGCAGCTGCCCGCCACGAAGCAACATTCTTCTGCTCAACTGCTCCCAGCAACCCCCAGCTGCCCAACGTGGAGCCAAGCCAGCCAGCTGCTCAAGCAGCAGCCTCGACCTGAATGGACGACTCGCTCTCACCGCTCTTGGCGCATTCCCTCTCCCCCAGCGCCGCCCTCAGTCTGCTCCGCAGCTCCCCACTCAGCCTCAGCGATTCCGCCACGCTCTCCGATTGCCACCCTTCCTCGATCTTGCCTGGCGTCGCGCCGGCGGAACCAGCGGACGCCGACTGCGCCACTCTTTCCGCAAGAGTTGCGCGGATTGCGCCCGCGCTGTCCCCCACGCCTGCGCCCGCGCCTTCTTCGCTGCTGCGCGCGCGGATCGCGCCTGCATCCGCGGGCCCCGGAAGCAACCCTGCGCGCACGAGCAGCGCCTCCTTGGCGGCGTCCGAGAACAGCTTCGCCGCCACGCCGCTGCGCCGTTCTGCCAGCTCGGCGCGCAGCTGTTGCGCGGGCGTCAGCGCCCGCAGGGGAGTCTGCTGGGCGCCGATTGATGGCGTGGCGCTCGAAGAGGGGGATACCCCTTGCCCAACGCAGGAAGGAGAGTTTTCCGAAAGGCTCACGACGCGCGAAGGGGAGGGGGGACGCGCAGCTTGCGCCGATGAAGGGGTGCGGAGCGCAGAGGTGGAAGAGGCGGGGGAGGACACGGAGACTGCGCTCGCGCGATGCGTGGGTCGGTGCACACGAGACAGCCGCGGAACGGAGGGGGGGCTTCCGCCAGTGGTATCCGCGCTGGCGGCGGGCGGGGAAAGCGCGGAGGACCTTTGCGGGGAAGACACAATCTCAGAGCCGGAACCCTCGTTGCCGAGCGGAAGCAGCCCCACGCTTGAGGCCTGCGACGCGGTAGACTCCTTCTGCGGCGACTGTGCGACGGCTGGCGACTGGTTCTGCGACTGCGCGTTGGGCGACAGGAGAGTGAAGCCGTCAAGCCCCGCCTGCTTGAGAAGTGCGTCGCCCGAGTTGGCGGCGTCCGCCGGGGGGTTCGAGCGCGACCACGGCAGCACCTCGCTGAACAGCCGCTGCCCCGATAGCAGATCCTGAATCAACGAAAACGCTCCGGCAGATGACGCGGCGCCGGAAGAGGCGGAGGTGACGGAGGACGCGGGTTGCTGGTTCTCCGCGTTCGACGGCGAGGTTGGCGCTGGCGCCTTGGAGCCGTGAAGTTCAGGAGAAGAAGGGGTGGTGGAGGGCGTGGGTTGCGTGACCGAGTCGTACATCTTGCGGATGGTAGGCGGCTCGTACGCGCGGATACCGCGGCCGCTGATGAGACCCGCGTGCTCTCTGTCCTCCTGCTCGTGCATGTGGTGCAGCTGGAAAGACAGCTGCATATCCTCCTGCTTTATATTCTGGAAACGCTCCCTGATTATGGCGATGTCTGCTTTAAATTCCGCGAGTTCCGCTTTTCGTCTGCGGCGGTCCGCGTCGCTGACGGTTAAGAGGGTCATTGGTGACTGCCTGGTTTGCTGCGGTTCGATATCCACTAGGAGGCGAGATTAGGACGAGAAACTAGGACGATGTTGTAGCTACTGCACTAGGAGTGACGTGACAACGGGACTACGTAACGACAATGGGAAGATGGAAGTACAACTTGGGAGAGCAAGTGTCTGGTGGATCACCAAGGGCTGGGTTTGACTGGCACAGAGGAAAGCACAGAAGAGCAGCAGAGCCAGCGGACGAGGCGAGGAAAATGACAGTGACGAGCAGTGACGAGCAGAGCACAGCAGGAGGTTCTGCTGGTTTGGGATGGATTTGGTTCGGTGAAGTGGAGTGCTCTGCATAGCACGAAAGTTGGGGTCGTTGATGAGATTGCATTGGTGGGGAGGGAATACTGGGGATGGTCGCGAGGGGAGCACGAAGGGCGGCGCTGGAGCAACAGCGACTCGAGAGGTTGATGTGGGCGACTCGTGATCCGACGGCGACGTGTTTTGGATGGGTTGGCATTGAATAGCATGGATGGGGGAACTGACGGTCAGCAGCGCAGTTGGCGGGAAGCGTGGGAGGAACACTTCTTCGATATGGGTGTGCTTCGGCTGAACCTAGAAAGCCTGTAATTTCATCAACTTACCAGATTGTATCTAGGTGTTTTACCCATTGTACATTTCTCAAGCGTGGTTCATATTGAACAATCAATACCGAGTACGGATCCTTTTGCGACCCTGAAAAGGCGCGCTTATTGCGCCCCTTTTCTAGCACGTTCCGTGGGGACGGCACACACGCAGATGCGACGACGAACCTAGCCGATCATCTCTATGCTGATCCTCCTAGCTTAGTGGTGGCGAGCCGTGTATGTGACACTAGCGCCTCGTCGCGGTTGTCTTCACTAATCCGTTATCGTTTGTTTGTTTTTCGCTTGTCACGCTGCTGGTGTGCCCCCATTCCCCATGGCGCAAGCATTGAAGCTCTTCCATGCAGCTCGGCGCGCTGCATCCCGCGCAGCCGATGCGGGCCCATCACCGCTTTCCGCCTTCCGCAATAACCCGTCCTCCCCGCTCCCTGCCTTCCGCAACCCACTGCCCTCTCCGCTTCTACCGCCTCGCCTTCCTGCGCCTAGCGCGGGCAGCCCCCTCACCGCCAACCCGTGCGCGCCCCTGACCGATCACGCTTTGCGCGCGCGACATCCCCCCGCACCAGTCGCAGAGCTTGCTTCCAATCGCCTCCGCGCCGCCATTACCGCCTCGTTCGCCGCTGCGCCAGTTCTCTCCTCCACCAACCCACCACCCACCGCTGCCCACACCGTTCCCGCCGTCCGCCACTTTCTCGCCGCGACTGCGCCGTCCCCCGCTCCATCCCTTCCGCCACCACCCGCCGTGCGCAGCCGCGCAGCTGCAGCCACTGGCGGAACGAGAGGAGTGTCAGGGGTCACTGGAACCGCAGGCGGGGGAGGAGCGCAGGTCAGGGGGATGAGCGGGGGAAGCGGGGGGAGCGGGGGGATCGGGGGGATGGGGGGAAGCGGGGGGAGCATCTATGTGAGATCTACGCGGGAGCCAAGCGGGCTGGCATCCGTGCCGCTGGTGCCGCTCGTTCTCGGTCTAGCTGGCGCCATCCCATTCGTCGCCCTCGCGCCGCCCATATGCTCCCTCATTCCTCTCCCTGTCAGTACTCCCCTTCTCTCTTGCATCCCCTTTCCTTCTCTCTTGCATCCCCTTTCCTTCTCTCTTGCATCCCCTTTCCTTATCTCTTGCATCTCCTTTCCTTCTCTCTTGCATCCCCTTTCCTTCTCTCTTGCATCCCCTTTCCTTCTCTCTTGCATCCCCTTTCCTTCTCTCTTGCATCCCCTTTCCTTCTCTCTCGCATCCCCTTTCCTTCTCTCTTGCATCCCCTTTCCTTCTCTCTTGCATCCCCTTTCCTTCTCTCTTGCATCCCCTTTCCTTCTCTCTTGCATCCCCTTTCCTTCTCTCTTGCATCCCCTTTCCTTCTCTCTTGCATCCCCTTTCCTTCTCTCTCGCATCCCCTTTCCTTCTCTCTTGCATCCCCTTTCCTTCTCTCTTGCATCCCCTTTCCTTCTCTCTTGCATCCCCTTTCCTTCTCTCTTGCATCCCCTTTCCTTCTCTCCTCCCTCGCCCCTCATGCTCCCTCGTTGTCCCTATTCCTATCCTCCCACCCATCACAATCACTCTACGGCCACACACCCGCTCGGGCCTTAGGCCCTTTCTCTCTCACCCCATTCCCACCCCTTTCCCCTCACTTTCCCCCTTTCCTCCCCTTCCCCCCCTTCTCCCCGCCCTTAACCCACCCCTTGCCCCAACGGTGCGACTAGGAGCTGGTGGCGGGGCAGCCAGCAGCAGCGCAGGCGCCAGGCGGCATACGGGGCAGCTATTCTAGCCCTTTCTAAAAACTTCCTGTTTTTTTTTTTTCTCCCATTGTCCCCCACGCGAGCAGGAGCTGCTGGCAACGCAGCCAGCAGCAGCGCAGGCGGCGTACGGGGCTGCCATCCTCGCTTTCCTGGGGGGCCCGCACTGGGGGCTTGCCATGGCCCGATACGCCGCCAGTCAGTGGCCGCCCCTTGCTTCCCCTCCCCTGCTGCCTGCTCTCCTCCGACTGCCGCTGCCCTCCTCCCCCTGCTGCCTGCCCTCCTCCCCCTGCTGCCTGCCCTCCTCCCCCTGCTGCCTGCCCTCCTTCTCCTTGCTGCTCCTTTCTGCCCCTGTCTTTCGCACTGCTGCCACATGTGCCACCGCTGTCAATGTCCCCAACCTCCTCTTTGTACGTCACTTGGTCCACGCGCGCTCCTTGGTCCACGCGCGCGCCTTGGTCCATGCGCGCACCTTGGTCCACGCGCGCACCTTGGTCCACGCACGCGCCTTGGTCCACGCACACCATGGTTTACGCGCGCGCCTCGGTCCACGCGCGCGCCTTGGTCCACGCGCCTCACCGCCTCCCTCCTCTCTTCTCCTCTCTCCTCCCGTTCTCACCCAACCCCATGCACCACACACAGCCACGTCAGAGGCGAGTCTAGGCAACTTCTCAGTCGCAGCTGCCCGGTGAGTGCTATGCGGTCTTTTGTGGTTCAGTGCGGTGCAGTGAGTTCTGTGCAATGAGCGCTGTGCGGTATCCTCCATCTCAGCCGTCCATCTCTCAAACGGTCCTTTGTATTGATCCGAGGGGGTACAAATATGCAGGTCTATTCGAAATAACAGCAATCCTCCTGTAACCCCCATCATCCCTTAGCGTTCCTCTACCCCTCTGGTGTGTGGAGGTCGGTTGTCCCCCTGGTGCAGCGGCCACGGGTCCGCTCGCATCTGGGTGTGTGCCGCCTCGATCCCAGCCCTGGCCTTGGTGTGCAGAACTCTCTAACCTTAATCTCAGCCGTCCATTGCTCTGCCCATATCTACCATCATCGCACGGCAGGTACACATGGAGTGTGGCGCCATCCCTGGCTGCATGGGTAGCGCTGCTGCTGCCAGATGGGCCCAAGTTCGCCCTCCTGCTCTCCTCCTTCCTCCTTGTACGCCCTCCAACCCCCCTTCGCCCTCTGCTCTACTCACTTCTCCCTTGGTCCACGTGTCCTACGTGCGAACTATCATGCTCCAATCCATTCTCAGCTTCCACCATTTGCAATCTAGATCTGCTCTTACAAACACAATCTTTATGATATGTGTCTGCAGGTCTGCGCATCCCAGCTGGTCCCTTTGCGTTCTCTCTGTGTGTGAGCAGGTGTTGGGTGTCGACACAGTCTTTGTCCGCATGGCATTAGTGCCTGCATGGTACGCTCCTTCCTGCCAATCTACATCCATGCAGCTTCATTTCCATCCCATGCTGCAATCTTCCATGCTGAATTCTTCCATAACAGCATATGCCCATTCCACAGCAGCATAACATGCCCGTCTCTGACATATGCTCCCGCTCTCGATCATCCCCTGCCTGCCAACCCTGCCACCCCTGCCACCCCCTGCAACCCATGCGACCCCTGTCCCCCTGCAACCCCTGTCCCCCTGCCATTCCCACCAGGTATCTGCCTCTCCGAGTGCTGCTCTCCTCCATTGCTCTTCTCAGCCTCGCCGCCACCGCATTCACCGTCGTAACTGGCACTGCCATCTCACAACCATCACCTCAATCCACTGTCATCTCCCAATCAACCCCTCCTGCTACTCACTCAACTGCCGTGCCCTCACCCGCGGATCAACAGCCCGTTCACTCCTCTCACCCCTCATCCTCTCAACCCTCGTCCTCCCAACCCTCATCCACCCATCCTTCAACCTTCGAATCCTATCCCTCAGAAAAGCAGTAACTTGCACGTGTAGTGTGTGGGGGGGATGGGCAGGTCCCTCTCAGAGTGCTTAGCATCAGCTCGTGCTCGAGTCAAAACAGGGAGGTCTGAACAGGACGCATCATTTCTGTTCAATCAAAACAAGTTAACATCATCCTGCGGTATCCTTGCATTTAGCTGCATACTTCTCAGTCAGCACAAACAACCGTGCAATTTGTGTCATCTCAAGTGCATATAAGTGGTCCTGAGCCTAAGCCATGTTAGTGTGTGAGGAAACAACAATAACAGATGACAATATCTAAAATACCTTGTACAGTACTACAAAGCCCACCCCTCGTGCATTGGAATAAACACTCTATTAGTGCTCATTCCAAACCACACCAAGCCAGATGTCCACAGTACAGCTCGTTTTGATTCCCAAGAGGCATGTTCACCAAATGATGGCTGCCTTAGATGCACAGTCTCAGCTGACTTTAGACTTGGAAGGGGCTTTTCGCTTCCTGGATGCGAGCTTTGCTGCAGAGCTGCGCATCCCAAGGTAAACAAGTAGGGCTCCCACCAGAGAAAGATTCTGCAATGGTGCCACGAGGGAGAGGAAGAGCTGACTGGCGTAAAAATCAAACATACGCGTGATTCGATTGCTGAGGGAGCAAAACAAGAGAAGACAGCTTGGCTGCAGATGTGCGTGCCAGGTGAACAGCAGGGCTCGGAACCGATATAGGTTCTGCACGGCACAGACATCATGGATGACGAACAGGCATCATGGATGACAAACAGGCATCATGGATGCAACCTATGGAACGAGTCCTGCATACTCGCTGGAGAAAAAAGGGCGAAAGGGGAGGGGAGGAGGGGTCAGATGAATCCAGGCGGAGGTAAGGGTTTAGCATGGTAAAAAAAAAATGGAAACATGAAAAGTTTACCTTAAGGAACTGGATAAACTCGTGGATGTATTCCGCACTTTCAGGCTTGAAGTTGTAGAAGTCGTGCATGATGGGCGTCACTGCCACGAGGAAGAGCAGCTGGCGGTGATGCAGCAGGGAGGTCAAATGGGTGAATATAACATATTGATGGGAGTGGCAAGATAGACAAGTCTGATAAGCAAGGGCGTGAGAAGAATATGTAGAGCTAGAAAAGTGTGTAGAGGCAAATGGAATATGTAGTGAACGATCGTGTACTGCTACAACGAATATGTAGTGGTAAGACACCGCTAGGACGAATCCTGGCTGGCTCGACAAATTATGGCAACTGATGGTAGGCCGAACCAGGAAGTAAGTGTGTCGCATGACATTGTAACAAGGTGACATTTGAGCGGCCGAAAAGGGACGTACCAGGAAATATGCACCCAAGCTGCTTCCAATCGTAAAAAGAATGCCACCCACTCCTTCCAGCACAATCGCTGTCAAGAGAAGAATCTTGGGCTGCAACCATACGCGGTTGTGATGGATAGAGACGTGGATTAAACTTCTACGGTTGAAAAATGTAAAAGCCTGAAACCTACAATTCCAGTAAGCGACCACTTCCAGGAACACGAACGCTACGGAAAGGCGCAGCGACTAACGGACATCACGATGTCAGCTAAGAATGAAGCTTTGTGAAACTCACGTCAACATGCGGAACAGAGAGACCTAACGAATCCTTCAAGTGATTTTGAAACGTCTCCAGCTTCGGAGTCATGTTCTTCAACGCGGGTCCGCCATCGGGACCGAAGTCATTGAACCTGCGTCAACGCGGATCGGCATTCAGTATCGGTCGTATTTTTCACCATGGTTCAATAAAGCTCGCACGGGCTTGTGCAAAGAAAAATACATCAGAATCTGATGCCAAGTTCCCACTTTTGCCATGCCGCGAGGATGAAAATGGCGGAAAAGAAGACTCTCCCGATGAAGGACGCGAATCCCATGGCTGGGACTCTCGAATAAAACTCGTGAAATCTCTTCTAGAAACCAGAATCGCGATCCCGAATACGAGATAAGTGAGCTCGCTGAATAATCTGAATCCCTAAGGACGCGGTAGAAGTGCTCGATTGGGGGGAGATCGATCCGGTCACCACACTGAAACCCCGCGTTTTGCATACGAAAAGTACAAAACCGTCTACAACCGCGATAAAAAACGATCCTGAGGCGATCGTTTCTCCACTTTCACTGCGTCCTAAATGGCGAGTGTTTCACTGCCAGGTCTGCGCTCCAACCGCTCCAGTAGTGGTATTTGGAGAAGTTGTTCCGTCCATTGGGCTGCAAGGAGCCAGCAGAATCCGAACAGAATCTGTAATGTCTAAACTCTTGAAATTGCAATTTGAAAAGCAGAAACAAATCAAATCAGTAGTTTCTCACACATTGAGATTCACACAAACTATTAACACTGGCACACTTGGGAACCGCGAAAAAGTCTGCGGCTGTAAACTGAGGCACACTGAGAGCAAGCCACTGCTGGCTTGCTATAAATCACACAACTCACTAAACACACTTGCTAATGGCCTCCCTAGAGCCACACAACCTATGCACACAAAAAGTACAGCAAACCAAAAGCGTTAGGCAAACCAAAAGATAAAAAAAGAAAAGCCAGGCAACACTCGGCATCAGGCTCTTGGCCCTGATGTGAACGCGAGACGCTAACAGACACATGTGCAGCCGCACATGGCACGCCTGTGAGGGAAGGAAGCTCAGCAGCTGCGGCTCCAAGCCACCGTTTGTTGGCATGAACTCATGAAACAACGTACGAGTCATACGGTATGGCACCAGAAACAGGTATCCATGAGAACATGATGGCGTGAGAGTCTTGCGACAAGAAAGAGGCGAAAGGAGAAGAGTGAATCTACGGCCGGGCGGCGATCTGCCCGCGACTCGCGCCTGAAGCCATGCCAGCAAGCCCTGCAGGCATGCCAGCAGCAGCTGAAAGTTGGTGGTGATACTGCTGCTGCTGCTGCTGTAGGTGCTGTTGCTGCTGCAGATGTTGTTGCTGCTGGAGGTGTTGTTGCGGGTGCTGCATTTGCTGCTGTTGATGCTGCTGATGATGATGTTGCTGGTGCTGCTGGGTTTCGTACTGTTGCTGTTGCTCCTGGTGTTGCGAGGCTGCAACTGCTTGTAACGAGGACGCCATAGATGCGGACAGAGTGATATCAGACGACGGGGACAGCGAAACCTCTCCTTCCGCCCCAAGCAAAGTGCTGCCCCCGCCCCCTCCGCCCAGCAATCCTCCGCCCATGTGTAGCTCCCCCAGGGGGCCCATTATCCCGCCCATGTTTCCCCCTGCAGCAGCGGAGCCCGCACCATGGGGCAGGGAATGGAATCCGGGGAGAAGCATCATTGCTCCGCCCATTCCGCCGCCCATTCCTCCGCCCACAACGCCAGCCATACCACCGCCCATTCCGCCCCCACTTGAGGCAGCCGCGGCTGCCGCAGCGGCAGCGGACATAGGGTCCCCCGCGCTCCCCAGCATCCCCATCATGCACGCGCTGCTTCCGCCCGTCGTTCCCGCCAGCAGCATCCCCCCCCCGTGCGGATCCATCTTCATGTCCACCCCCGCGCTCATCGCTGTGCCCGCGCCCATGCTTGCGCTCAAGCCTGCGCCCATGCCCGCGCTCATTCCGCCCGGCCCCATGCTCATCGCAAACGCGCCCATTCCGCCAGCCGCAGCGGCGGAGGAAGTGCCTGGCGGATGCGGCATCAGCGCAAGCATGCCGTGCGGAAGGTGCATCGCGGGGAACGATCCGGGCAGGCCGAATCCGTTCATTCCCGCCATCATGCTGCCGCCGTACATGCCCGCGCCACCCAGCCCCACGCCCGCCATACCTCCGCCGGTTCCCCCCACCGCGCCGCTGGCGGAAGCTGCAGCGGATGCGGGAACGGAAGGCGGGGAGGAGCGGGGGAGCAGCGAGGGGCTGCCGGTGGAGGGCGGAGAGCCGACGAGCGGAGCGGACGCGCAAGCCTCCCGCGGAGACATGGGCGAAACGGATGCGGTTGCGCCCGACGGCGTCGCGGCGAGCTGGGGAAGCGCGTGCGGGTGCGCAGAGTGCGGTATGTGCGCGGCAGGATGTTGTAGATGCGCCAGCTGCGCCGGCGATTGCGGCGCCAGCTGCGGCGCCAGCTGCGTCGCCTGCTGTGTCGGGTACATGGCGAGCGAGCCGGCAGCGATGGCAGCCGCCGTGCGACTGTGCAGCGACGAGTGGCGAGTGGGCGGCTGCGACCCCTGACGACGGGAGAGAGAGCAGGGGGAAGAGTAGGGGGGAAAACAGGAGGAGGGTAAAGAGGGGAACGAGACATTAGGAAAGGAACACGAGAGAGTCAACGCGACGCGACCAGCCGAGAGCCTGAGTAACAAATGGCTTGGAACGATAGCGATGGGGAACCCGGCAAAGGCTGCACGAGCGAGGCCGAGGGGCGAGAAAAAGGGCATGAAAGCTGCCATTTAGAAACAACCCTCGGGGATGCTGCTATGTAAAGCGCCGTACATGCTGCTATGTAAAGCGCCGTAAAGTACGCGGAACGCATCGTGGAAAACGGTGTGGCAAGCGGAGGCGGGGGAAAAATGAAAGCGTGGCGCGTACGGGGGAGCGGTAGGTGGTGCCATCGGACTCGACAACCCAGCCTGCTTCCGCGGCGAGCGCGCGCAGAACGTCGTTGATGTCCGCCCTCGGCGGAAGGTTGTATCCGCCGTACTTGCGCAGGCCGGCAAAGATCTTCGTGGTTATGGCGCGCCGCTGCCGCTCGCGCAGCTTCGTCTTCTCCTTCTCGCTCTCCGTCAGCCGCGACGCGTCTCCGCCGTGCCCCCCCTCGCGCTTACACATGGCGGCCGAGGACGGCGACAGGTCCGCTGACGGCTTCATCCACTGGGAAGCGCGCTGCGGCGAGGCGGGAGTGACTGAGCTGCGAGACTCGAAAGACTCGAGCGACCGAGCGACCGAGCTGCGCGGTGCAGCGTTATGGGTTACGCTCGGTGCTCTGGTTGTGAGACTCGAGCGACCTATAGCTTCCAGCTCGTGCTGGCTACTGTGGGATTCGACTAACGATTAAGTAGCCCGCTGATAAGCGACTGAGCGCAACGCGCATAACCGTTGAGGGGGGGTTCAGGCTAAGAAGCGACTAAGGACACGACCAGACGAGAACACCAGGGACAGGCGGTTGCCAGAGAGGAATCCTGTGTTAGCTTGCAATCCTGGTTTTCCCTCGTGTGGCAAGTTGAATGTGGAAAGTGAGCGAAGATGTTTTGGTTGCAGCACCTTTTGCGAACGAGATTGAGAATCGTGCGAGGAAGAAAGGGCACGGGAGGGAGCGAGCCATGGTGGCGTGACTGACGGCAGCAATAGTGGCGGGGCATGGAGGAAGCGAGAGGGGGACGAATGCAAAAGACCAGGCAAAGCCACCCACTCAGCAAATGCCCAACGCATCCCATAATGAACAGCTCATCCCATCCAGACATTTTTCGAACCACTTTAAAAGACTTGAAACTCCACCCAACCTCCCTGCGATGAGTTCCCCCAACCCATGCTCGGTGAGAGTTCCCCCAGCCCAGACAGACCTGGGGGAGATGGTACAGTAGAGTGACTGCCATGCCACGACTTGATGAGAGCCGTTGATACACGGAGCAGCATTACGGGGAACAGTGGCGGAGATTCTTCCACAGCACCACATTCACGGATTGGACGAGTGGGGAAACGAAAGAAGGGCAGATAGTGAGTGGGTCGGGGGTGCGGGAAGGGGGTTGAAGGGCTGGTGCTGGATGCCGCGCTGTGCGTTGAAAGAAAGTGGGGGGACGGGGTCTGGGTGGGGAGGAAAGTTGTCAAAAGGGGTTTGGGGGGAGGGTGGAGCAGAGGAGGATTTGGTGTGAGGAGGAACAGTAGGGGGAACTGGGGGGATTGTGGAGAAAGTCGGAAAACATGCGCGCAGGCATGCGCGCTTCCATTTTGACGATGAGTGAAGCACGACCACACCTTATCCGAAAATCTTCCCGAGGTGGCTCGCCGAATGACAGGGAGACACAAGTTGATGATGACGTTGGGCGAGAATTTCCACAATACAGCTCACACAAATTTCCAAGATAGTTTGGTTTGGGAATTTGACTACTGTACGTTACTCAGACATAATTTTGCTCGGCTAGGCAACCGAGCAAAATTATCAGAACACGCAAGGGTGGGGAAAGCCACGAAAGCTCGATACAGTGGCTGAAGTTTGAAAGATGTTCCAATCCAAGAACCATCAGAAAGCAAAAGTTCTTTCTTCGAATCAAACTAGCAATCGCAATGATTGAATCGACAAAGGACTCGCACGTGATTGAACTTGTCGGAAAAGAATGTGATTCGCCGCAGGGCTCACATGACGCTGGATTTGACCTGGCAACGGCAGAAGGTGAGTCATTCTCTGATTCATTGGAGATCGGAAATTCTACATAAGTCTTCGATAGACGGACATGCGACTCCATAAAACGCGATATTGTAACCTTGCGAGCTACGCGGATAGTACAGCTCCTTTTTTTGTTAAGTTAAAATCAATCATACCCAACATATGGGTAACTGTGGACCAGGGATGCTGGCTGATCAAGGTTAGTGTCATGATTCCTGCCTTCCTACGTATTCTTGTTTCACACCGCAGCCAGACAGGGTATTGGTTTGAGCATGTGCAGTAAAATCACCTCTTGGTAGAGAAGGGAATACAGTACACAGCTACCCAAGTCTTGACAGACAAAAAAAAAGGGGCACCAGCACAGGACACATGGGTACGGTGGAGCACAACAGTTATCACTCCACTAACAACAAGTCACCATAAGCAAACGGTGCTTATATTGGGCACAATAGGCATCTTATCACACCATCTCATTCGACCCACCTAGATTATGAATAAATCAAATTGGATTTGAGCCCTGATCCCCTGTACCACGCCCTAACCGCATTCCGTATCCTAGCCCCTTTGACATTCATCTTACTCCAAAGCCCGACAAACGTGAATCCATGGTCGGATGTGCTGGGCAGAAATGCCGCCGATTGTGGGTGGCTTTTAATGTACTCCTCCACGGTGTCCAGCACATTTACCGCAACAGACAGCACCGAATCCCTCTCAGCATCCGTACAGCGCTGCATCGGTTTCTGGGCAACGGGAATCACGCTTCTCATGCGGTCGCTCTGGAGCTGGCTGACTGTAATTGGCTGTGCGAGCAGCTCCGACAGGCACGTGTCAGCATAGGTGAAATCGAGCGGCATCTGGTTGCCGATGACGGCTGCGTGGCGGTCGAAGAGGGAGTTGGCGATGAAGACGGGACGGGAGACGAAGCGCAGGGAGTACTGAGGGAAGAAGCAGCGCCACTGCGTGCTGGAGTTGTACTCTGGATGAAAGGTGATGGGGGGGTGGGAGAGGATGGCTTGACAGGATTTAGCCGGATGAGTGGTGTGGGAGAAGTGCTCTGGACGGGTGGTGGGGGCAGGGGTTTTAGAAGGGGGGAAAGGGACAATGAAGGGAAGAGCGAGTTGGCGATGAAGACGGGGCGGGAGACGAAGCGGAGAGAGTACTGCCGGAAGAAGCAGCGCCACTGGGTGCTGGAGTTGTACTCTGGCTTGGGCACGGGGAGAGAGAGAGAGAGAGAGAGAGAGAGAGAGAGAGAGAGAGAGAGAGAGAGAGAGAGAGAGAGAGAGAGAGAGAGAGAGAGAGAGAGAGAGAGAGAGAGAGAGAGGTGTAACAGGAATTAGAAATATAGGATGGGTGCTGGCGTTGTGCCCTGGATGGAAGGGGTGGGGAGATAATGGAGGATGGTTTAACAGGATATTGTAATGCAGGATGAGTGCTTGAGTTGTGCTCTGGGTAAAAAGGGTTCGGGAGAGCGAGAGGATGGATTTACAGGATAAGTGTACACTGGATGGGGGCGGGGGAGAGGGGTGGAGAGAGGATGATGCAAAGTGAATAAGTTGGTGAGTTGGAGTCTGCTGGTTGAGGGTTGCTGGGTTGGGTAGGATTGGGAAGGAATGTGGGGGAGGGGAGGGGAATGTGGGGGAGGGGAGGGGAATGTGGGGGATGGGAGGGGAATGTGGGGGAGGGGAGGGGAATGTGGGGGATGGGAGGGGAATGTGGGGGATGGGAGGGGAATGTGGGGGATGGGAGGGGAATGTGGGGGATGGGAGGGGAATGTGTGTGTGGGAGGGGGAGGGGGAGAAATTGGAGAGGCTTGAGGGCAAACATTCCACGCAGTGAGCGGTGCATCAAAAGCAGCTGCTTCTGCGCCAGCAAGGTGGGTAACAGCAAAAGTGTTTTGCAAGCCATGATGCGGGGGAAGTGGCCAGAGGGGAAGGAACAGAGGAAAGAAAAAGCATGTGGAAAAGACCAAGCAGAAAGGAAAATGGAGAAACAGGAAGGAAGCTTGAGCGGGCAAGCGCTCACCAGCGCTGCAGCGGTCGCTCCCCTGGAATTGGTGTATCGCCACCAGCTTCTGCGCCACTGACCGGAACCTCCGCCCGCCCTTGCGGTCGCGCGCGTCTGTTTGCGCCCACGGGAACAGCCAGGTCGGGGGGGAGCGGGAGGAGGGGGAGGGGGGGTGAGACGAGGGATGGTAGATGGTGGTGTGGGGGGTTGCCGGAGGGGTGTGTGTGGGGGGGGGGGGGGGGGGGGGGGGGGGGGTGGGGGAGAAACGGGGAGGGAATGCGGGTGAAGCTGAAGGAGAATGCAATGACGGGGTGTGGGGCAGGGAGAGGACGAGTGAGAATGCGTGATACATTCAGAAAGGGAGCTTTCAATGTGTGCAGAACCTTATGCTTACCCATGAGGCCGGCACCTGGTGGTGGCGCCCGTTTTGCGACGACTCAAATCTAGTCTCATTTCACGCGGATCACATGTGGAGACGTGGTTTGTTGCATGGCTTACCGACGAACACGCCCGTGGTTTGTTGGCATAGCTTACCGACAAACACGCCCGTGGTTTGTTGCATGGCTTACCGACAAACACGCCCGTGGTTTGTTGCATGGCTTACCGACAAACACGCCCATGGTTTGTTGCATGGCTTACCGACGAACATGCCCGTGGTTTGTTGCATGGCTTACCAACGAAGACGCCCGTGGTTTGATGCATGGCTTACCGACGAACACGCCCGAGTCCATGAGGCACTTGGTGGTGGCGCCCGGCAGCTGCGCCGCGATAAAGTCACAAAAGGTCGTCACTGCCTGCGCGCCCGCTGATGCTCCCGATATAAGCACCTCAGAAGCTGACGACATGCCACGTGTCGCCAGGACATCTATCAGTTCGACGGACGCCAGGAACCGAAGAGGGGGCAATGGAAGGGCGTGGAAACGGAAAGGAGGCGCGTGGGGGAAGTAAAGGCGGAGAAGTGAGAATGAGGGATGAAGCAGCGAGACCACCATATTTTCTTCGTTATTCCATCCCTATCCCTGGCATAAAGAAAAAACTATATCCCACTCGCAGCACACCTGATGAATCCAGTACACATGCGTAGAACGCAAACAAAAACGCACAATTTTCGGATCCTCACCTCTAAGAATCGCACGGAGAACCTTTCTCCCGTCCAGGTACAGCGCCGGACCACCCTGCACCGATCTCAACCCCGCCTTCCCTTGAAACCCGCCTCCGTCGCAATACACGGGCATGACGTAGTTCCAGTTAAAGAACAGCGGATTGGTCTTGGCCAGCGGGCTCATCATTCCCTTGCTCAGAAACTTGGACCACCGCCAGTTCTTGTCCGCCTGCATGCGCGTGCTCCCCAGCGGCGTCTTCGCGCGGTCCGCGCAGTCCTCCATTGTCGCGCACCACCCCCCGATGGGCAGGTGGATGTGCCATGACTTCGCCCCGCTGCCGCTGCCCGGCCGGAAGTAGTAACCTGGGGGACTGCGGGGCGGATCGCGGAATGGGGAGAGGAAGGGGCGCGGGGATTGGAGAGGAAGGAGGGGGGTAAGGAAGTTCGGAGTTGTTCCTTTACATACCATTCAACTCACTTGTACAGGACACGCACCCTTTCCGTCTTTTTAGCAGAAAGGCCACACAATGGTGTACAAACAACATACGAGCCTGGGATTTATGAAAGCGCGCCGCCCAAGCACTGCCGCGCGGAGCTCGTAGTTAAGACCTAAACCGCAGGCTTGTGTTCTGAACGCCTAGCGGGATTGATTTCCATCACATATCGACTCATCGCGCGCGGCTGGTAGAGTGAAGGCCTCTAACCATCGGACGGTTCTTGATCGCTCTCTAGACGTACCTGCCGTCGAGGCATTTCGCGCCGAGGTCATTATTGGGCAAGAGGTAGAGATTCGTGTTGGGAACTCCCGACGGGATCGGACCCGTCGACGACGCACTCGCCGACGCGGTGGCTGCTGATACCTGCGCTAGAAGCGACACGGCTAAACACACTGCCGCTGCTGTTGCTGCTGCTGCTGCCATTTCCTAGCGTCTACGTGATTGAGTTCAATGGATTTCCTAGTCTACAAGGTCTTGAAGGAATGCAAGGGATCGAAAGCGTGTCCTAGCGGAGAGCTTGCTGTGGCCTAAGCAGCTTTGCCTAAAGGCGTAATTACCACGTTCACATAGAGCGTGACCTCAACAAGCAGCCCATGGCCTTTCGACGGCCTCGTACCGCACGACAAGAGCGTCTGTTAATGAGATCTTAACGAACGCGGATACCGAAGGATTGTGACAACATATGAAAGTGATATTGCCGAAGGATCGACCTATGTATGTCCTCCTCAATCAACTGCCAAAAGGTCGTCGGTGGGGAGGGCGAGGTGGGGGGACATGGCCAATAGGAGTAGGAAGAGCTATGTGTGGTGCCGAATAATCCTGATAAGAATGTGCCATGCGGGAGAGAGGTGAACTTCAGGCACGCGCCCAGCCTCTCTGGTTGGGGTGATTGACCAACATCGCTCCCCCCAGGCATGGATGACCACCTAGTGTGTTTCTCGGGCAGTACGCCTATTTCCCCTATAAAACGCTGTACATCAGGCCTTCTTATCAACTCACGAATTGAATTACCTTCGTTCCCACTAATCGTGTCTAATTGCATTCGAGGAATCTTTCTGAACTTCCAAAATGCGAAAGACAGGCCATCTGGACCAGAAAATATATATGAAGGTTTTCCAGGTATGCAAACGTCAAGAATGTCCGTGCCTATGAAAGCTAGGTCCCGAGCGAGTGAGCGACACGCGCAGGATGAACGCGTTTCAATGAGCCGCGTACTGTATGCAAGGGAGAATGCGGATTGGAGGGCCTCACCAGCTGTGTCGCTCACCTCAATGCGCGAAACAAACTCGCCAAACGATAAATTATCTCGCTTGCGTTCGCATCGAATCGTCAATTTTCTCGCCAGTTCGCTTTGCTGGAATTGACATCTCCAAGGTTACACCGTTTCGCTGCCTTCGTTAGTCTTCCAGCTTTCAGGGACCCAGCTCATTCAGAACAGAATTGAGACTCGTACCCGCGGCTCGAGACATAAATTTGAATTGCGACTCGCGTTGAACTTCGAAAGAAGTGGCGCACTGCCCGGCACCCAACCAGGTTCAAAGAGTGCCGTGGTTCCTCGGCATTCCCGCGGTCCGCTTTGCAAGGCGGGAACTGAATTCGCGCGACGAAACACCGACTCCATTCAAGACGGAATTATCCTCGTTATCAAGCTTGTACGAGGCATTTTGAAAATGAGCTCATACAAACATGTAAGCCTACAAAGCCCTTATTATCTGTATAAAAACATGCACTCGACAACAAGCACTAGAGTTTGCAAACACAAGCTCCATTTCCAACTCAAAAGTAGAGCTTTCCCCCCCAAAGTTTTCCCTTGAACCAGCCAACAACGGCATCCTTCATGTATGTGCTATTATGTGGGGGGCTAAACCACTGAGACGTAGTGGTTACGCAATGACCCACGCAATCAGTCGCTAGGAATGCCAGTACATTCTTCTCATTTGCCACCAAGCTCTTCAGCTTTATGAACAAATCTGACACAGTAGACTGAATTGTAATGCGGGAAGTAGAATCACACTCCCCCGGCTTCGCATTGAAGGGCTTCCATTGGTTGGAAACCACAGCCTTTTGCAGGTCCTTCTGCTCCCATATAATTTGTCGAAGGCACCTGTTGTTGACTTGGAATGTTGTATTCCTCAGCTGGTTATACAGCTGAAGGGCGGTGTAGTCAAATAGAGCATTGGTGATAAACAACGGCCTTGAGACTGTCTTTAGCGAGTATTCTGGAAGCAGGCACTTCCATGGTTCCGTACCTGTAAGTTCAAACACAGTCAAAACAGAAAAAAACGGGATTTAGTAAATATAATCGCAATTTGCTATGTAAGGTTCTGTAACAGTTGGTGCTTACCTTGGCTGCATTTGCTGTCGGCGAATTTATGCAGGGAAGCAACACTCTGTATTGTTGACCTGAAAGTGAAACCGTTTTGCCGGTCCTTTGCGTCTGTATGGAGAGAACAAGGCGGCGGAGATGGAGAAGCAGGCTGGGGCTGAACAAGACGAAGGCGGCCAAGAAGGGTCCAATGCACTCATATGAATGGAACGATAATGATAGATGCACAGCCCATCAAACAGTTGCTGCTGTCTCTCTGTCAAGGAGTGGTGGCCATGGAGAAACTGCCATCTGCATACAGCAGCAGCTTCTAGCAAATCCTGTACTGCGCTGCCCTCTTACAACGAAATGATGATATTATTTTTAGATGTCTCAAACAAATTCGTTTTCACGTGAAACGCCTTGTTGTTGGCGAACTTGACCTTGGTCCTAGGATTTGAGCTCTACTGTGCTGCTGGCATTTGAGCTCTTACCTAGAAAGAACGCTCCATCATTGAGGCACTTGATGCTGGACATGTGATTTAAGATGTCTCTTTACGGCCATGTGCTCTCCTCTCCTCTCACCAAGGAAAAAGGCTCCATCAATGAGGCACTTGACGTTGGCCTTGGGATGCGCGGCGGCCACGGAGTCGCAGATGCGCGTGACTGGGAATCCGCCCGCAGAGCAGCCTGAGATGAGGATCCGCGGCGCCCCCGCCATGCCGTTCTGCGTCCCGTTGAGATCTGCGCGTGGGAGAAGGGAGAAGGGAGAGGGGATAGGGGAGGAAAGAGAGGGAAGAAGGGAGAAGGGAGAAGGGAGCAAGGGAGTAGGGAGTAGGGAGCAAGGGAGATGGTAAATGGGAGAATACAAGATAGGTGGAAAGAATAAGAGAGAGTTGGAGGAGACGGAGAGGGATCCATAGAGATGGAGAGAGGCGGAGAAGGACCTTTGTGGGGAGAAAAGGGTGCTGGATTTACGGCAGACAGGGAATCATCATCTGGAATTCACCACAGCAACGATACAGGGGGCAAGCACGTTGGCTCGTACCCGTTACTTTAGTAACAAGCACACTCAGCACCCCACACGCAGCTATGCTGGAGTTATGAGTCGACTCAGAAGTCTACGCGGGGCAAGCATTTTGAGTCGTACCCACTATATTAGTGACTAGCACGCTGAGCACCCCACCCGCAGCTATGTTGGATCTTTCCCGCCAATTCACTGGCAAGCACGCAGCACGCTTACCACTTAGCACGGCTTTAACGATCGCGTCGCCTTGCATGAACAGCGTCGCGCCTTTCCCGTTGCCCTTCACTGTGACCTTCCCTGCGGTACCCGCGTAGCCCCCGCCGTCGCAATACGCGAGGAGCGCGAGATTCCAGTTGTAAAAGAGCTTGTTTTCCGGCTGACGGGCAGATAAAATTCCCGTCAGCTGCTCTCCCACCCATGATCCCTGGATGAACGAGGGGAGAGATTTTGTGAGACGGTGCCGCATTTCGTCTGGCTAATATGAGCCCCTCGTTTCATTCAAGGACACGTGAAATTTGAGATTTCAACAAGCGCCAAGCTAAGTTCTTAGCGCCCGTTCTAGTATGCGCGGTCTCAGTTGCTGTCGCTCTGTCGCGCATCAGTCCCGCTCACCTGCGACGATTGCGGCATGTACTTTGTCGATCCGAGAAACGTCGTCGCACGCGCTGCACACTCGTCGCGCGTCGCACACCATCCGCCGCCAGGGAAGTGGATGTGCCACGACTTGGCTCCATTGCCGTAGCCCATGCGGCGGTAGTACCCAGGCGGACTGCGGGGAGGACGTCGCGTGAGGGGAAACCACGACAATATACTCGGTCGCTCAGCAACCATAGTGCCCTGAAAAGGGAAATGATCGAGACTATCCATCTGACGGTGGCACCCAGGCGGGCTGAGGGGAGGCGCGCGACAGTTGCAAGACGAAACGCGACAGCACAACGAATCGTTGGAGAATGGTTGCATTTCTGGGTTCCTAATAGGAGATGACAGCTATGTTGCATTAACCACAGAGCGCACCAAAAAGGAAAAAGAAAAAAACTCTTTATTTTGCAGAACAAGACTCTCTGACTCAGAGAGTCGACTAATCTATCGAGGTCGAACTGGCTACAGAGACGACTAAGCAAAGAAATATCCGAACCTGCCATCGAGGCATTTCGCGCGGAACGAATTGTTGCGCAGCAGAACGAGCCGCGCGATCCCGTCATTGCCTGGTACCCCGCCGACATTCGCGCTCGCCTTGACCTTGCTTGAACTCCCCTTTGCACCGCTCGCCTTTCCACTGCTCTTTCCGCTGCCTTTCGCGCCACCCTGAGGACTAGCACCGCTTGTAAATTCCGCGAAAATTATCAGCAAGAGGGCGAGAGCCATGCACAAGCACAATCCCAACAGTGGTCGCCTTCGCGCCAATCGTTCTCCTGCCACCCTCCGTCTCTCGATCCCTTGACGCGCTCGCATCTTGCCTCTCCACGACTCTTCGAACCGCTCCCCGCCCCTCCACGCCTCTCACAGCCTTTTCTCGCCCCTCCTACTAGCCCCTCCTCACCCCTAAGCCCTCTTCGATTTCTGTCCAATTTGAGGCTTCCTTTCGGCTTACCAACGCTCCTCGATATGTCGACGACCGAATTGCAGGGAGAGGCAAGCGCAACCTACTTTGAGGAATAACGGAAACCCAATTCCATTCCACTTCGCAACCGACAAGGAAAACTGCTAGCTGCACAGAGCCTGCGCCCGGATGCTACTAAAAACTCTGGGTTGTCAAACACTGGCTTCTCACTCATCCCTGTGAAGTCGGCGGCTTGTCATCATGCCGTTCTTGCAAGATTGCGCACGAGCCTGAGTGCAACCTAAGTGGGCACAACAGCCTCCAGCACCAGCCGACCCCAGAATGGTCTGGTTTCTTGTACCGCGGCCCGCCCAATGATGCGTTCAAGCAGCCTTCTGCCGGAGTCTTCAACAGCCTAACAACCGACATGGTGAGGACACTGGGGGGCAGAATGACAGCTCCGCCCAACCCTGGGCGTCGACTGTCTGTAGCGGTGCGTGCAATAGGCGATTTGAGAGAGGGGCTGAAGTGCTCGTCGTCGGATTACGGATTGATTTGGGACGTTCAAGCACGAATTATCGCGTCGCGGGATTTGCTCGAATGCGCTGCGGTTGATTTGTGGGTGCAATGGATGGTTTGAATTGTTTGACGCATCTACTGCTGACGTGGCTCTCTACCAATTGCGGAACGTGAGTTCCAGCCCAACCCCACCTGTGTACACAGCGAACGCCCAGGGCTGGGTCGTCGTGAATATCGACCGTTCGATGCCTGCAAAATCTGCAACCAGAGAACCCCCAGGAACATTACGCGACTTGGGGAAATTGGCGACCATCGCGGAGCGAAGAAGGTTGTGTTATGATGACGTGGCGTCGCACAATTCGCGAGACCACCAATGTTGCGCCTCCAACAAACCAGTCAATTCTCATCATGCCATCGATTGACTTTCACTGCATTAGGGATCAGGTGTTGAAAATAACAAAATGCCCATGGAGCTCGAACACAACCGCAACTATTTTATTGGGTTGCGTAGCAACCCTTTATATTTGGTTTCACATTTTGGGGATATCATTCAAAGAGTGTTATTTACGCACTTTTTGGAGCACTCGTTTGAATGTTTTGAAACTGTGTTCAAACGGATGCCTCAAAGAGTGGATAAAAAACACTCTTGAATGAGATCCCCAAAACATGTAAGCACGTACGTATCATGTTGAAACCATGAACTTGCTCGACCGTCACAACCTCGTCGATAAATACGGCGGATTGTACGGCCGGACATAACATTCTGGCATCGACATGAACGAATGCAATTGTACAAATGAACAAGGTATGAGGTGGAGTGAATGCTTCAAAATGAATGTTAAAATGCATCATGCAACAACAGAGGTTGATGGGGTCGTTGAAACAGCGAAAACACGCTGCCCCAAAGACGATTAACAACCTCTAATTGCATACATAACACATACTAACACCACACTTTGAAACACACATCCCACAAACAAGAATGCAAACGCACGTAAAACCCCACAGTGAAACAAACACAATGGCAACACATAAACACACACACGCACAAACACACCCGCACCGCACACACATACATACACAAATAGGTTTGGGAGCAGACAAGCATAACAAAGAGTTGCAATAAGTTAATTATGTATCAATCACTGCTACCTTGTCCCCCCCCCTTAATCCCCCTTTCTACCTTCCTTCCTCTCCCTCTACCATCGAAATCTCCTCCCACCCTTTTCCACATTGTCTTCTCTCTCGATCCCTCCCTGCTCCCCACAACGCGTCTCGCACACCTTGCAAAACAAACAGGTCAAGCAGAAAATAAATTGTAGTCGGAAAACGGAGTGAACTATTCAATGACGAACACGCACTTGATTGTGAAATGGAACTTGAAAGAAATATGATAAGTACAAAAGATAACCGAATTCGACGACTCACAAGCGTGGTTTGAAGCAAAGATCCCCTGGGGTCACGCACACCACGCTGGTGTGCAGCAAGGCTCCAGCGAGCAAGGTGCCTTGGTGCAACGAGCTGGGCATCGCCATGCTACAAGGTGCCAGAGAGTTGCAGCAAGGCACTGGCAGAGGAGCAAGCGGGCTGCCGTAACAAGGCATGAGCTCACTGCAGCAAGGCGTGAGCTCACTGCAGCAAGGTGTGAGCTCACTGCAGCAAGGCGTGAGCTCACTGCAGCAAGGCGTGAGCTCACAGCAGCAAGGCGTGAGCTCACTGCAGCAAGGCGTGAGCTCACTGCAGCAAGGCGTGAGCTCACTGCAGCAAGGCGTGCGCTCACTGCAGCAAGGCGTGAGCTCACTGCAGCAAGGCGTGAGCTCACAGCAGCAAGGCGTGAGCTCACTGCAGCAAGGCGTGAGCTCACTGCAGCAAGGCGTGAGCTCACTGCAACAAGGCGTGAGCTCACTGCAGCAAGGCGTGAGCTCACTGCAGCAAGGCGTGAGCTCACTGCAGCAACGCGTGAGCTCACTGCAGCAACGCGTGAGCTCACTGCAGCAACGCGTGAGCTCACTGCAGCAACGCGTGAGCTCACTGCAGCAAGGCGTGAGCTCACTGCAGCAAGGCGTGAGCTCACTGCAGCAAGGCGTGAGCTCACTGCAGCAAGGCGTGAGCTCACTGCAGCAAGGCGTGAGCTCACTGCAGCAAGGCGTGAGCTCACTGCAGCAAGGCGTGAGCTCACTGCAGCAAGGCGTGAGCTCACTGCAGCAAGGCGTGAGCTCACTGCAGCAACGCGTGAGCTCACTGCAGCAAGGCGTGAGCTCACTGCAGCAACGCGTGAGCTCACTGCAGCAACGCGTGAGCTCACTGCAGCAACGCGTGAGCTCACTGCAGCAACGCGTGAGCTCACTGCAGCAACGCGTGAGCTCACTGCAGCAACGCGTGAGCTCACTGCAGCAACGCGTGAGCTCACTGCAGCAACGCGTGAGCTCACTGCAGCAAGGCGTGAGCTCACTGCAGCAACGCGTGAGCTCACTGCAGCAACGCGTGAGCTCACTGCAGCAAGGCGTGAGCTCACTGCAGCAACGCGTGAGCTCACTGCAGCAACGCGTGAGCTCACTGCAGCAAGGCGTGAGCTCACTGCAGCAAGGCGTGAGCTCACTGCAGCAAGGCGTGAGCTCACTGCAGCAACGCGTGAGCTCACTGCAGCAACGCGTGAGCTCACTGCAGCAACGCGTGAGCTCACTGCAGCAACGCGTGAGCTCACTGCAGCAAGGCGTGAGCTCACTGCAGCAAGGCGTGAGCTCACTGCAGCAAGGCGTGAGCTCACTGCAGCAACGCGTGAGCTCACTGCAGCAAGGCGTGAGCTCACTGCAGCAACGCGTGAGCTCACTGCAGCAACGCGTGAGCTCACTGCAGCAAGGCGTGAGCTCACTGCAGCAAGGCGTGAGCTCACTGCAGCAACGCGTGAGCTCACTGCAGCAAGGCGTGAGCTCACTGCAGCAAGGCGTGAGCTCACTGCAGCAAGGCGTGAGCTCACTGCAGCAAGGCGTGAGCTCACTGCAGCAAGGCGTGAGCTCACTGCAGCAAGGCGTGAGCTCACTGCAGCAAGGCGTGAGCACACTGCAGCAACGCGTGAGCTCACTGCAGCAAGGCGTGAGCTCACTGCAGCAAGGCGTGAGCTCACTGCAGCAAGGCGTGAGCTCACTGCAGCAAGGCGTGAGCTCACTGCAGCAAGGCGTGAGCTCACTGCAGGAAGGCGTGAGCTCACTGCAGCAAGGCGTGAGCTCACTGCAGCAAGGCGTGAGCTCACTGCAGCAAGGCGTGAGCTCACTGCAGCAAGGCGTGCGCAATAATCTGCAAGTGCGCTGCCGCAACAAGCAGCGCACAAGCCACCAGCGCGCGGCGCGCTGCAAGGTGCCACCGCGTTAGGCGCCAGCGCGCTATGCGCCAGCGCGCTAGGCGGCATCGCCTTAGGCGCCCGCGCGCTAGGCGCCAGCGCGCTAGGCGCCCGCGCGCTAGGCGCCAGCGCGTTAGGCGCCAGTGCGCTTGGCGCCAGCGCGCTAGGTGCCAGCGCAGCAAGCGCCAGCGCGCAAGGCGCCAGCGCAGCAAGCGCAAGCGCGCCAGGCGCCAGCGCGCAAGGCACCAGCGCGCTAGTCGCCAGCGCGTTAGGCGCCAGCGTCCCAAGCAATTGCTTGAGGCGCCAGCGCCTTACGCGCCAGCACTTGCGTGGCAATGCGTCAGGCGTCAGGGCGAAAGCCGCCAGCGACCTGGGCGCCAGCGGCCTATGCGACCGTTCTAGACGCTAGCGTGGCGCTAGCGCGATAGGCGCCAGCGTGATGGACGCCAGCGCATTATCATGACTGCATACCTTTTTCACGTCGCTTCTTTTTCACAATTCTTAACTCACAGGTACTTTAGTTGGCGCTTTTCAGTCTGCCTATTAGAAGCGCTTCTCACGGGGCGGCGCTTCACCGTGGTTTGACGACGGTTGTCACGGGCGCTGTCGACAGAGGCTGAACTAAGCACTAAATGGAGACTAAAGTTGACTAGCAGGTGTCGAGGGATTTAGGTTCTTGATTTGCAGCATAGAGCAGGTGGGGGTTCTTGATTTTCGCTTGTGCGGTGGTCTGTTCTCCAACTGGTCAGAAGGAAATGTTTTCTTGAACCATGTACCAAAATGCTTCAAAGTTTCAGGAAATTTCTGGAGGGCAACTTGATCTGTACTCCTTTATCACGCCTAAAATAAAAACCAGGAAAACAAAACGAAAACTTCCCGCGTGCGAGCACGTGAAAAATACAACTCGACAAATTCAACTCTGGCACGTGAACAATGAGTTATAACAGCTAGATAACACAAAAAACAAAATACCCTAATATAAGTATGAATATAAATCTTGACAGATACTTATTGGTCTTTACATATCCCCTTAATGTAATGGCATTAATAACAAAATCATGACAGTTTCAATAAGATACAGAAATAGAATCAATTGGTATTACATTATCCTTCCAAACGTTTATTGTAATAAGTATGTGACGCATAATATACGGTAGCCTATGCGATACTGCTTAATATAACATATACATAAGCTAGCATTTTTATGCGGCACTTATTTGAAAACATTGCTCCTACGCAACCCATACGCCGCTCAACGGCGAGCCTTGTTCATTTCAGCAACACCAGCAACATGTAAAAATATACATCTTGGATTGCATCATTCCCTCCCAGACACCATTACGGCGCGTGTGATCTATTTTCAAGTTCGGAAAAAAAGGTCGAACTTTGTGTGGTTACCAGCTTCGCTAATGTCGTCAGGAGGCTTTGGCGAAGGCATGAGAATTTTGGGGCACATAAGTTCGAATGTCAAATGTGAAGTCAACTCGAATCACACGAGTGAACGTGCAGGTGCACGTGAGGCGAGTGTGTGTGTTGTTTTCAGCACGTACGAAGGCCATCCGAAAATCGCGACCGCTTTGCGAAGGTCGTTGAGCTTCGTTGCGCATTACGTTAACGTGTCGCGCTATACCAGGTAACCTGCTCCCCTACGGGCGGCTCGCCGCCATCCCTAAAAGGTCGAATCTCTGTGTTCGACCTTGGGTGTGTGATTGTGACTCGTCTGTGTTGGAGACCCAAGATTCAAACTTCGCTGGAAAGAAAGTCGAGTTTTGTTAAAATGCTACATTCGACCTAAAAACATAAACTTTCACAAATTTGTAAGACCACACGCGTCCTTATCTCACATTTCCCAAGCAGACGTCATACCATTGTTGCATCATTGATCTCTTGGGCCACCCATCGAGCTACAGCTACCTGGATCGAAGTCTTGAAACTTCTCACAAAACCCCATCGCCAAGAAGTTAAGGTGCTGTGCGCTACAAGCCGAAGTGGCACGAAGGCACCAAACCCTTTCTTGAACCTCAATAAATGGACTATGCTATTGAACACTGCCACAGCTGTACTCTCTGCTGCACTGCACTCGCTTTGTCTGCACCAACCTTCAGGACCCTCTGACGGTGGTATAAACAAGTGTGATTGTAATGAGGCCAACATATTTGATTGTGACCTAATCAAACTCTTAAGACACTCTACGGGGTTGGTGGTGTTGGGAAGCTGCTTACCAATGAGGAGAGATGCGTCATCAAATACGGTGTTTAGTATGAAGAAGGGGGATGAGGCGAAGGGGAGGGCGTATTGGGGAAAGAAGCATCGCCACCGCTCAGACGCAGGGGTCACTGCAGGCAGGGACAAGGAAGAGGCAGAGAGATGGGTGGAAGGGAGTAGTTGGTCTTCGCACTACAAGTTCGTCGTCGTCGGTAAGACGCTCTGGGAGGCAGGACGTGGGGAGAGAGGAGGGACTTTTTTGAGGGGGCCTGAGATGGAAACAATAGGAGGGAATAAAATCGGAGGGAATAAGATCAGCAAGGAGAGGACTGTTGGTGCTGCACAGGCATGCACTGCAACATGAGAGCAAGAGGGCCCACCTCGATCGCAGCGGGACTGCGGCGAGAACTGGTGCAGCGCTGAGATCTGCTGGGCTAGGCTCTGAAAGTGCATTCTCCCCGTGCGGTCTGGGGCGTCTGTGAGAGGGGGGAGGTGGGGGAATGGGGGGGAGAGAGAGGGAGAGCGGGAGAAATGAAGAGGGAGAGGGGTGTGCGTGCGATAGGGTGAAAGGGGGGGTTGTCAAAGATGGGTGTGAGGCCAGCGGAGGGTGCAGAAAACGGAAGGGTGATGGCACCTACTGGACAAGAAGGAAAGAGAAGGAGAATGTACCGGGGAAGAAGGAGCCATCGAGGAGGCATTTGACGGTGGCGCGGGGGAGCAGAGCAGCGAGGGAGTCACACAGGCGCACCACTGCCAGCCCCCCCGCTGACGTCCCCGACACCAGCACCGTTGTCGCCCTCGCTATTGCTCTGTTTGCTAGCAGGTCTGATGCGGTCGCAGAGGAGGCATGAGTAGGGACAGACAGAGAGGAGGCACAATGTGGGGAAACAGAGGAACCGAGAAGGGCAGGGACGTAACACTCAGCAGGAGATGTCACAATGGACAAGTACTCCGCCAATGTGGGTTAAAGCTCAAGGCCCAAATTGCAGAGCGCGCGGGGCAAGATTACTAAAGTTGATGAAAGTGATGTTTAGAGTGTTGTTTGGCTGCGAATTGTGGTTACGTGAAGTGCGATGCAATTTGATTGGCCAACAGTTTTTTTGTCGAATAGGAGAGAAGGAAAAACCAAGAATATTGTGAGTGCAATTTGGGACTCGAGATCCAAACCGAGTTTCTCCCTGGGGTTTGCTGAGTCAGCGAAAAGCCTAAGGGTGTAGCGAGAAGCTGGACGAAACTAAACAGCCCAACTCCAACAAAGTCAACCTTACTCTCCCACCACCCAAAGGGCAACCTTAGTAAGGTTGAAAAATTTGGGCCTTGAGCTTTAAGGAGGAATGATACGTGACTAGGTTGGGAATGCCACGTGATTGGAGGGCCAGCCATTGCTGAAACAAAAAAATGATTGTTACAAAAGCGCCAGCCATACACATTTCAAATCACACCATCCAGAACGGCACCAGCACCACACGCAGCGCACCTGCCACCAGCAGCGCTATCGCCTTCCCACGCAACGCACATCCCAGACAATCAAGCACATGCCAAGCAACGTACCGTCCATGATAGCGCTGGCGATCCTGCTGCCATCCATGTGCACGTAGCGCCCCTCCCCCACGGCCACGCGCCCGGCTGCTCCCGCATAGCCGCCCCCATCGCAGTAGACAGCCATGGCCAGGTGCCACCCCGCAAAGAACGGGTTCAGTGCCGCACTGCTGCTCAGAATGCCCAAGAATTGACCCTGTGCCCACGTGCCCTGGGACGAAAGGGGAGAGTGTAGAGGGGGGGGGGTGTCCGGGGGGAGCAGGCAGGGTGGCATAAGCAAGCGACTTGTGGTTCTGATTATCTGCTGGCGGAACTCTCCTAAGAAGAGAACCACTGTTGGCAAGATACGTATCTCCCACTCACGTTGCTGATTCTTAAGCCTGTGCTTTTGCTGCCAAGGTGGCTTTTTGAGACGCCTCAAAAGTCACCTCAATGTGACTCCCATCCCAATCACGTTGTCAGATCATGTGGCCACATACTGGTGCTGCCTTTTGAGTCGACTCAAAAGTCTTGTCGGATCATGTGGCCACATACTGGTGCTGCCTTTTGAGTCGACTCAAAAGTCTTGTCGGATCATGTGGCCACATACTGGTGCTGCCAAGCTGCATCCAGGCTCGAATGCGGCACTGCCCTCTCATGCCGCACCACCCGCCGCCCGGTTTAGTTTTGAGACGTCTCAAAACTCACTCACGTGATTGGTTGTCGGCCACGCCACATGCTGGTGCTGCCGCTCAGCTCCATCCTGGCTCGAATGCGGCACTGCTCTGCGCACCACCCGCCCCCTCCCGCCCCCCACCCCGTGATTTTTCAATCGGCTAGAAAATCACTTCTAGCACGGATGACTCCGCTCACGTTATTGGTTTCCGGCCACATGCTAGTGCTTCCCAGCTGCATCCCGGCTCGAATGCGGCACTGCCTCTTGTTGCCGCACCACCCGCCGCCCGGAAAGTGGATGTGCCACGTGGAGGCGCCCTTCCAAGGTGCCTCCCGCAGGTAGTACCCCGGCGGGCTGGGATAGATGCGGGGGAGGGGGGGGTGAAGCGGAGAAGGGGGAAGTGGAATAGGAGAGACGCCCACGGGGTGTGGCGCCCTTCCAAGGTGCCTCCCGCAGGTAATACCCCGGCGGGCTGGGATAGATGCGGGGGAGGGGGGGGTGAAGCGGAGAAGGGGGAAGTGGAATAGGAGTGACGCCCACGGGGCGTGGCGCCCTTCCAAGGTGCCTCCCGCAGGTAGTACCCCGGCGGGCTGGGATAGAGGCACAGGGGGGTCAAGCAGAGAAGGGGATGGGGACAGTGGGATAGGAGAGATGGGGAGTGACACCCACGGGGTGTGGCACCCTTCCAAGGTGCCTCCCGCATAGTAGCCCAGCGGACTGGGACAGATGCGAGGGGGACAAGAGGAGGGGAGGGGGAAGAGGAATGAGGGAGACGCGGACTGTAACACAGTTGCCGCTCGCAGGAATACCTGGGTTTAGGTTTGATCCCCTGCGGACTGGGACAACGTGAGGGGGAGCATGGGAGTAGGGGGTGAGGAGGATGGGGAGGGAACGAGGGGGAGAGGACGGGGAAAGAGTTTGAGAGCCCTCAGGAGTCACATAATGCCCCGGGGGACTGGGACAACTTTTGAGGCGCCTCAAACGAGCTTGAGACCCATCAAGAATCAGGTAGTTCCCCCGGTGGGCTGGGATCGATGTGTTGGGTGGGGGGGGGGGTAGCCACGTGATAAAATCGTATTTTTGACGTCTCAAGAGTATAAAAATTATGGCTGAGGGAGCATATCTGAATGTGCATGAATGCTCTGTGAGGGGCATAATTCCCGTCTCTGGCGGTATACCGGACCCAGCAAACGCTTTCCACTCCATACCTCCCATCCAGGCATCGCGCTCCGTATTTATTTTCCGGAAGAAGAACCAGCGTGGCGGGACGTGGATCGCTCGTTACTCGTCGCGCCCTTCCTTGCCGCAGCGCGCTCAATCTTGGAGGGCACACCGCTAGGAGTGCCAAAAGCGCCAAGGCGTTTAGCAATGCCACGTGGACGGCTGGAGTGCGAACACGACGGATGGTTACTAAGAATCCTCGCATCGAGATCGACGGCCACGGAATCCCGATGGAATTTAAGAGGCCGCGAGATGATTATGCCTTGGGCATGCGAGATATGGCGACGGAAAAAGGAAAGAGACGACAGAGAACGAGGTCATAAGCGCTGCGACCCGTGATACGGGAGAATGAGGAAAACGATTGGCTGCGGGAAACGGGTGGCTGGCTCCAAATTACGCGGTAGGGGAATCGTGCAGCACGGCACGGGGTGAAATGACAAGGCGAGGTGTGAGGAGATTGGGCCCTCAACAGGAAGCTATCGCCGAGTCTTCGGGAGAAACCATTGAAGGGGAGGCGTAGGTAAGGCCATGGTGGAAACTGGATTGTCTACTATGGCGACTAGCTCGGCGGGTAGTTAGCGACATGCTGCGGTTGGTGGCTCCTGCTGAAACAGTGTTCCTCTCTGAACTCTATTGGCTGGGTGTCTCTTCTCAGCTGTCTGTGTTGGACTGGACCGCGATTGACAGCATAGCTGCGACATATGGCTGGGTGTGTCAAGTAGGTTTGACCACGTTCCTAGCTGGCTAACGGTCCTTACTGTGCCGCGATTTTCGCTAACTTTCAGCTTGAGTTATTTTTCTGGGGTTTTCTTTGGCTCGAAGTGTGTCGAGTCGCCCAAATTTCTTTCAGTAACTTACTCATCGCCAGCACTGGCGACAATCGCCTGGGTAGGCGGCGAATGAATGCAAGGGAAATGTGGAAATGCCGATTTACAGGGAACGAGATGGCGGATTTGCAGCGCCAGATGGCGCTGGCTCTCGCAAACAAAGTTGATAGTCGCAAGCGAAAATCGCCGTCTTTTCGCATACCAAACTCCAGGAGTTGTGAACGAAAAACTCCCGTCGTTCGCACTGCCCGTTGGCCACAAAATGCAGTTCATCGTTGCATAGTTGGTCACCAACATTCTGTCGCAATGGTTCGTGAACATCGTGGGGAAAGCATTATTGAAATGGTGATGCAATGGAAGGGCAATGATAACATCAGAATGTAGAAGGTTGCATATGAAGACGACTGCATTACTTGTCCCAGCAAAATGTTGAGGGCAACGTAACTTCTCCCAGCAGAATGTAGATGGTGATGAGGGTATGAGCACATGCAATACAAGGGCTAGTCTCAATGTAATTGCAGCATAATGTAGAAGACTACAAATTTTCTCATTGCAACCACAATACATCCATGAGCTTATTTTCTCAAATGTACAACACTGAGGAATCAGTACTCCCCAGGGCCATCCATTGAGCTACAGCAACATGCACTGGAGTCCTCGCAACCTTCACCACACTCCACCGCCATGAAGTGGCGATGCTGTGTGCAATAAGCCATACTGGCATAAATGCACCAAACCCTTTCCTGGACTGTACTACATCAACTATGCCACTGTACACTGTTGCAGCTGTGCCCTGTGATGCACTGCACTCTCTTTCTGTGCACCAACCAGCAGGATCCTCCAGAGGTGGAAGAAATGAACGTGATTGTAATGAAGCCAATAAACTGATCTGTGACCGGACTAATCTCTGCAGGCAGCCTAAGGGTTTGGTGGTGTTGGGAAGCTGGTTACCAATCAGCAGCGAGACTTTATCTAAGACGGAGTTTACGATGAAATAAGGGGAAGAGGCAAGGGGGAGGGCGTATCGGGGAAAGAAGCATTGCCACCGCTCAAACGTAGGGGTCACTGCAGAGACAAGGAGGTGTCAAGGAAAGGGTGAGAGAGAGTAGACACAAATACATGAGAAATGCTGGGTGGGTAATTTGGAGAAAAAAAAAAGGATTGCCATCGCTGGGCGCAGCAGCAGCGAGACATAAAGCGGCAGGAGGCAGGACACAGAGGGAGTAGGGACAGATGAATACGCCGGGAAGAAAATTTCGCGTTTGAAGGTGATTCAAGCACCGAAATAGCATCAGGTACACCGGCATAGACCTGAGGTGGTTGCATAAGAGCAGGAGGGCCCACCTTGATCGCAGCGGGACTGCGGTGAGAACTGGTGCAGCGCTGAGACCTGCTGGGCCAGGTGCTGGAAGTGCATTCGCCCCGTGCGGTCCGGTGCGTCTGGGGGGGGGTGGGGAAGGGCGGATGAGGGAAAAGGATGGGAAACGGGGGTTGACTGTGGGACTTCAGGAGTGGGAGAAAGAAGGAGAGATTGGGGTCTGGGGGGTGCGAATGCGGGATGGTAGGAGAAAATGCGGGAAAGGGGGAGGATGGTGATAGTGAGAGTGCAAGAGAGCAGCGGGAGGCGTACCGGGGAAGAAGGAGCCATCGAGGAGGCATTTGACGGTGGCGCGGGGCAGCAGAGCAGCGAGGGAGTCACACAGGCGCATCACTGCCAGCCCCCCCGCTGACGTCCCCGACACCAGCACCGTTGTTGCCCTGCTCAGCGCCCGGTTTTCTAGCAGGTCTGATGCGGTGAACAGCGGTGAGAGCGTCGGCACAGGGAGGGGCAGATGGAGAGGAGGTGTGATTCGGGGAAGGCAGAGGTGCGGCATGAAAAGCGCAGACGGAGAAAGAAAGAAACTCACGCTCTGGCTTGTTTCTTCAACTATTAGGTGACTTTGGTTCTAAGATACTTTTTGCTTCTAAGAAACTCTGTCCCACCACACACTTCCATTCATCTCAAGCAACGCACCGTCCATGATAGCCCTGGCGATCCTGCTGCCATCCATGTGCACGTAGCGCCTCTTCCCCACAACCACGCGCCCGGCTGTTCCCGCATAGCTGCCCCCATCGCAGTAGACAGGCATGGCCAGGTGCCACCCCGCAAAGAACGGGTTCGCCCCCTCGTTGCTGCTCAGAATGCCTTCGAAACGGCGCTGCACCCACGAGGCCTGCGGGAGGGAGAGAGTGGTGGGGAAGTTGGGGCGCACGGGCGGTCGAGAATCTTGTGATAGAAACCTTGAGACGTCTCAAAGCTTCACTTATTTCGCACGGGCAGTTGAAAAAAATGTGATAGAAAGGCCGTCGCTCCTTTCGATTGGCAACACTCTATTTCAGGCGCAATTGTTTTTTTCCCTCCTAAAGGCTTGCTGCTGCCCAAAATCTGCCAAAGACAATGCAACCCCGCGGACGGGGAGGAGGAGAGACCGGGTGGGTGATATGAAGAGCTGAAGGGGAGGGCGAAGGAAGAGCAGGGAATGGTTAAATGTTCGCATGCAAATAGGGGACCATCTTTTTGAGAATTACCACAAATAAATTGAATACAGATGCTGGGAAACAAGAAAGTCCGAGCACAGATGACGTGAATGATTCCACTCACGTTATTGGTCGGTGGCCACATGGTGGTGCCGCCCAGCAGCTGCCCGGCCCGCCTGGCGCACCGGCTCTTGGTGGCGCACCACCCGCCGCCCGGAAAGTGGATGTGCCACGAGGTGACGCCCTCCCCAGGTGCCGCCCGCAGATAATACCCCGGCGGACTGAAACCGCAGGTAATACCCCGGGGAGGGTGGAGTTATGGGGAGAGGATGGAGAAGGGGGAAGAGTGGTGGAGAGGGGAGAGTAAGAAAATCGGGAACAGTCTCGGAACCTTCTCTCATATTGGTGCTACCACTCTCACTGTTAGGTTTAGAGGCGCAGTGAGCGGCATAATTCTCGTTTAGGATAGATACACTGAGGGTCAAGAGGCGGAACCTGCAATATAGGGCCATCTCCGGCCAGAGAGGGGACCTGGTATTACCAGCTAGTAGCAAATATTTTCCCGTGCCGCATGGTACCTTCCGTCCAGGCATCGCGCTCGGTATTTATTCTCTGGGAGAAGAACCAACGTGGCGAGACGTAGTTCGTTCGCTGCTCGTCGCGCCGTTCCTCGCCGCAGCGCGCTTGATCTTGAAGGAGACACCGCTATGAGGGCCAAAAGCGCCACGGAGATTCGCCATGCCACGTGGACGGCTGGAATTCGAACACGACGTCTGATTTCTAATAATCCTCGCATTAAGATCGACGGGCACAGAATCATGACGGAGCGAAGATGTTTGCCTTCACTATCTCGAGATAAGGCGACGGAGAGAGGAAAGAGGCGACTCAGACTTAAAGTTGAAAGGCGCTACTGTAAGTGGTAGGTAACTGTACCTGTGATGGCCAGTGATAGCCTCGCATCGAATTGCAAGAGCTTGAACGGTACCGTACCTGTAATGGAAAGCATCATGTTTTGCATGTGCTTATTCACGCTGCAGGGTGGAAGTTGAGGTGAGGATGGGAGCTTGCGGCTCGACCGCTGCCGTGCCGCCGAATGCTCGGACAGACCGCTGAGAGGTAATCGTACGTAAGGCCATGGGGGAAACTGGGTCGTCTATCGTGACTAGCTTGCCAGGCAGTGAGCGACACGATTTGAAGTTCAACCAAGTTGGTGGCTTCCTGCCGAGCTGTGATCGTCTGAGACTCTATTCGTTGGGTTTCTTATCTGAATGGGCCGTGCTGGACTTGAGATTTGACACGTAACTGCGAGATTTGGCTCAATTCTATGCAAGTTAGCCTGGCTGGACACCTCGTGCCTGAGGAGCAAGTGGGTGGTCCCTCATTGCACCACGATGTACGATTTTACAGTAGAAAACAATGAGGGGTGAACTTTCTTTTCTGGCCATATTTTGGCTGCAAGTGCGACGGGTCGCCCATTTTCCATGCGATTCGGGAACATGCGCGTCACAAAAAGTGTGCGAATGCAGATTTTTAGGGAATGACACAGCGACCACAAAACGTGGCGGATTTGCAGCACAAGATGGCGCTAGCGAAAGTTGGGAGTGGCGAACCACGGCACGCTTTGCTTCGCATAGCTCGCTGGCCAGAGCACTCAGTGCAGCTGGTCACCAACATTTGGTCGCAATGTTTCGTCAATGCGGGGAAAGCACGGGTGATGCAGCTTGTGCACGGGTAGCGGTAGCATACATGTTGTTATGAGTTGTAAAGGAGAGTGCGCAGGTAAACGAATAACGAGGCTGTGACTGAATGAACTGCGAATACAATGAATGCACAGACTAATGTAGGGCTATCTCGTAAGGCTGCGCCCCACTCCTTCCATGTGCGTATCTTGGTCACACCGAAGATCGGTTCTGCCACTTGATTAACCACTGTAGAGGTCCCGTCTGCCGCATGTGTCACACCTGTCGAAGTCCTTGTTTCTAAGGTTCGGCGCCACCATTCAAGCGCCGCGCCCCGAAGAAGTGAAACCGCGTAATTAATACACGTGGCATCGTCGTTAACGCCTGCTGCCGTGAAGAAGACTTCAACACCGAACAGCCACCCTTTCACTGTAGTCGTCTTGTCCGTGGGATTAAACGGGGGCGGGTTGACGGGTTTGATCTTGATCGTCGTAACTGCAACTGGCGCTGCTGCCGCTCGCTGCCTATCTTCTTCTTCGAAGTCACGTGTGAGAGCATCCAGCGGGTTGCTCATCGCCAGACTGTTGCCCTCGCCTTCGTCCACAGGCGACTCCTGACGCGCTTCACCTCGCGTCTGGCGTAGCTCGGCGTTTTCCTCTCGTAGTGTTGTCACTTCCGCCATTAATGTCTTCATGCTCTCCTGCATTTCTGCCACTTGCGCCATCATCCGGTTAACAGCCTCCTGATCCATGTGCCTAGCACTACGTCTGGTGGGCAGTCGGGTCTCCGTGGCCTTCAGGCAAGTGAAAACACGAACTATCGGAGTCGGGCAGGATTGAATTAACAATCCCTGCAGCCAACCGTCGTCTAGTCACTAAACCAGCCACACCCTATGCCCCCAAACTACCCTCGGAAAAGCGGGGTGAACTAGGAAAGTAGCTCTGATACCAGGTGTTATGAGTTGTAAAGGAGAGTGCGCAGGTAAACGAATAACGAGGCTGTGACGAAATGAACTGCGAATACAATGAATGCACAGACTAATGTAGGGCTAGCCTGCCTAGGAGGGAACCTCGGGAAATGAGGTTGGGTGCAGGTTTGGCGATGGACATGCCGAAGGCGACGCGAGGAGCCTCGGCAGCGTTGAAATCGGCCGAACGTGCGAACTCCGAAAACCGGGTTGTACGCAAAGCAGTCAACCCCGATAAGGAATTCAGGAAAATTCCTTACACCACCCCCCCCTCTAAGAAAGGCGGTCAATGTCCGCAACACGCCTGCGCGCCAAGTAATCACCAACAAGTGGCGAGGCGTCGAGCGAGGCGGAAGGCACCCACGTGTCGTCCTCACTGGTGCGATCAGTCCAGCGGATCAAGAAATCCACGTGTCGGCCAGCTGCGTCAAGGCGAACCCGATGAGCCAGGATTTTCAAAGGGTCAAGTGTCGGCTCCGGAACAGGTCGTGCTGTTGGGACAGCTTGTTGACGTGCGATGTTTGTCGTCGCTGGCACGAACTTGCGAAGAAGGCTGACGTGGAAGGCGTCATGAATACGCCAGTCGTAGGGTAGCAATAGCTTCTCGGTGACAGGTGTCACCATCTTGATAATCTTGAACGGCCCGCAAAATCGTGGCCGTAGTTTCGACGGGTCGGGCAGGTGCAGGTTCTTCGTGTCAAGTAGCACTAATTGCCCAGTGGTCAAGAGAAGTTCCCGGCGTAGAAGATCTGTGTATTTGCGAGAGGTGATATTCGCTTTGCGAATTGCGTCGGCGGCCTTTTCTCGGGATTCCTGGAGTTCCGTCACAAAAGTTTGTGACCGTGGGACCGGATTGTCGAGAGCAGTCGCGGTGGGAACCGTCGGGTCCATCCCGTAATTCAGGAAAAACGGGGAGTGATTAGTCGTGCTGGATGGTGCGTTGTTGAAAGCAAACTCCAACATCGCGAGAGAATCTTCCCAGCGGGCCGGGTCGGGGCAGTTTGTTCTGATCAGCTGCTCCATGGTCTGATTGGTCCGCTCTGTTTGACCGTCCGTCTGTGGGTGGTATGCCGTTGAGAACTGTAGCTTCGTGCCGTACTGCGCCCACGTCTCCTTCCAGAACTTGGATGTGAATCGCGGGTCTCGGTCGCTGATTATCGCCGAGGGGATGCCGTGCAGTCGCACAACCGTGGAAATGAAGAGTCGCGCAGTTTCTTCGGTTGTTATTGTCGTTCGGCATGGTGCGAAGTGCGCCTTTTTCGTGAAGCGATTGATGACGACGAGAACAGCGTCGTTGCCGGACGGCCCAGCTGGCATCCCCGTAACGAAATCCATCGTCACTTGCTGCCACGGTCGTTCGGGTGGCTCGAGGGGTTGCAGCAGCCCAGTTGGTCGTTGACGTGTCGATTTCATAGCTTGGCACACCCTGCATGAGGACACATATCGCTGCACGTCGTTAGAGGAGTCAGGCCAATAATATTGACGGTGCAGTAATTTCTGGGTTTTATCAACCCCGAAGTGCCCGGAAAAATTCGAATCGTGGACCTCTTGGATGAGAAGTTCACGCAGCAGCCGGTAAGCGGGAACCCAAATCTGGTCGGTACCGGCTTTTACGTAGTAATCCCCTTTCTGCGTCGTGGCCTGCTGATGATTCCCGGTCATGAAGAATGGGTCCGTAGTGTAGCCGTGGGTGAATAGTCCTGTAAGTAGCGAGTTCGAATGGGTGATGAGTACTGCAGCGGATTGTACTGTCGGTCGGGTCAGGGCGTCGGCGATGTTATTCGCCCCTTTCTGGTATGTGATGCGGTAGGTGAAGTGGCTCTCCATATAATTTAGCCACCTAATCTGTCGTGGGTTGAGGTTGGGCTGGGCTGGGCTCGCAGGTACTGCAGGGACTTATGGTCCGTGCGAACAGTGACGTCGGCGCCCACCAGGTAGCATCGCCATAATTTAAACGCGTGTATGATGGCGAGCATCTCCTCGTCGTGAATCGGGTAGTTGCGTTCGGCTGCCTGTAGCTTGCGTGACTCGTAAGCGATCGGCTGTAATCCGTTTCCGAAATCTTGGAGAAGCACAGCTTCGATGGCGAAATCTGAGGCGTCGGTTACAACTTCGAACGGCTTCAATGGATCGGCGATGCGCAGGACAGGAGGGGAAACGAGAAAATTCTTGAGTTCCTGGAAAGCTGCTTCTGCCTCCCCCCCCCACACAAAGTTTTTGTCCTTGTGCAGCAGGTCGGTCAGCGGGCCGGTTATCCCCGCCATATTCGGGATAAAACGCCGGACGTAATTCACAAATCCGAGGAAACTCTGGAGTTCCGTGACGTTTGTCGGGGACTTCCACTCCTGTATGGTCTTGATTTTCGCCGGGTCGATTTTAATGCCGTCGCGCGAAATGACGTGCCCCAAAAACTCCAACTCCTGCTAAAAGAACTCGCACTTAGAGCCCTTGGTGATGAGTCGGTTTTCCTGCAGCCTTTTAAACACTGCATCCAGGTCGCGGAGGTGCTGCTCCCGTGTCTTGCTATAAATGAGGATATCGTCCAAGTAGACGATGACACACTGGTCTAGGAGATCTCGAAAAACCCTGTTCATGGTTAGTTGAAAAGTCGAAGGCGCGTTCGTGAGGCCGAAAGGCATCACTGTGAATTCGTAACTCCCATAGCGTATGCGAAATGCAGTCTTGTGACAGTCGTCGGCGAAGACTCGGATCTGGTGGTAACTGCCACGTAAGTCAATCTTCGAGAAATAGCGAGCGCCGCGAAGTTGGTCGAGGAGGTCGTCGGTACGTGGGATTGGGTAGCGAGATTTGATGGTGACCCGGTTCAGCGCGCGATAGTCGATACACATGCGAAGCCCACCGTCCTTCTTCGGAGTGAACAGAATCGGTGCTGCGAAGGGAGATGTGCTGGCCCGAATAAATCCCTTCTCCAACAGTGCATCAATTT